AGCATTAATTGCCTTTGTTCTTTTATCTCCTGGTAGCTGAGCAGTGATGCCAGCTGCCATTGCTGGCATTGCTATGTTTCTACCAAATGTAAGAGAGCACTCTACATGGCCTCTCTGCTGGCAAGTTAAGCTGTTCGGGTTGCAGAGGGATCATGCATGATATCTCACAGCTGAGGAGAGAATAACCTGTCACTTGTTAAGGAGGTTAACACTTGTATATGCTAAGAAATTTCTGGAAGAATTTTGCATACATGAAGACTAAAACCTTTCACAAGAAGCAGGATTAACTACAGCAATTTTTTTTTAGCTCTGTGTTAGTCTAAGATTCAGGCTTTAACAGTGTGTCATGGAATGTATTACATTATCTACATGTATTGAAAAGGTAAATTAAAAAAAAACATTAACAATTCTGAATCTTTCTTATAATGCCAGATATCATATGAGGAACAGCAATGCCAAATCCTCTTTTTCATTTTGAGTGTTGAAATATTTACACAGCTGTATTTTTATGATAGTGTTTTCTATGTTAGGTTGGTTGGTCTATTCTGCTACCTGTTACTGGAGAGCCAGCTAGTTGAGGTGGGTAACATTCAACCTTCCCAACAGTAATAAGAAAATATGTTCCAGTACAATTGAACTGGTTTGGACAGTGAACCAGTAGGAATGTGTGTCTGCCTATTTGTTTGGGGGAAGGCCGAAACCTGTCCCAGAAGGGCCTTAGATGCTAGAGTGGGTTTTTCAGTGATGATGGAATCCTTCTGTTTTTCTATAAACATATGCCAACATTATTCAGCCACATACCGAATCTCCTGTTGTCCATCAGTTTGCTAGGGAAGGACTGCTACTGATCCAGGGAAAGGAAGAAGAAACATTCTTTCCTCTAATCTTCCTATTGCTGAGTGAAGGTACCATGGGTCAAGTTCTGATTAAGTGTTTGAAACAGAGGCACAAGGCAACTGGGCAACTCAGAGCAGGACTGTGCCAGCCTGTATAGAGTGGCATGATGTGAAGTGTCAGGCTAATGTTTTTAGAGCTTTAGTAATGCAACCATTGCTAATTTCAGTATCAGCCTACAGTTAGAATCGTAACAATACCGTTATCAGTACAGAACTTGTTTTTTCTTTAGTTTTTCACTTATGTGACTGTATGGGGTGGATTGACATTGGCATACTCCCAGTTGCCCACCCTCAACAGGCCAGGAAGAGAAAATAGACTGAAAAGCTGCTTCAGGTGGATGGAGAAATAAACACATTGTCTTGTAGGCCCAGAAATGCATAGGAAAGGGTTTACTAGCAATTTTCTACTGGAACCTGCTTCTGGCAATAGAGTCATATTGAAAATATTAGGCACTCTGAGTGAATTTGCAATTTTGGGGTAAGGTTTTCAATTTCAGGAATAATCTGAATTCTGGCAAATTCGTTTATTCCAACTAACATGTTTCTCCCGTCCTCTTTTCTCTGTTGAAACACTGAGGAAAAGAAAGTTCTTCTGACTGCTCAGCAGTCAAGTGTAGGGTCCAGGACTTTCTTCACAGTCACTCCTTGATGGCAGAGCAATGATTGCTTATTGAACTGTCTCTCTACTAAAAAATATGTTATACTCTATTGTGGTTAGTATATGTGGCTGAAATTTTGAAATAGCAGAAGTATCTCTTTTGATTATGCTGAAGCTAGTTGTCAACTGTTCTCTAAAACTGCCGTAGTTTGCATACACAGTTAAGGCTTTTGACTAAAAATAATTTTAATAGAATATAAAACAATCTTAAGAATCAGCATTGGAGTAGTAAATTTTGGCTACCAGGAATCGAGTTTTCTGTGCCAGTATTTAATCCTGTTTGCTCATAATGTTTTCACAGTATAACAGAATCATTTTAGAGACTATTGATGTTGAGACCATGGGCTGATGCAAAGCTGCCCAGGAGTGTTTAAGCAAATTGAGTGCCTTTTCTATGGGAAAAAACCAGCAAGCTCAAAGACTTGTTATGTACAAGAATTTTATAAAAATGAAGGAATTTGGTTAGTAACTGCTTTTAAGATTAGTGAAACATAAATTAAATCTGCCTTCAAGACATGTTGATATACTGCGTGTTTACAAACTTAAGCTGTATTCAATTGAAGGTGGGACATTTTTCCTTTGTCACTAATAGGGATGGTATTATTTTCTAACAAGTGAAAGGAACACAGCAACATTCACGCTGTTATTAAAGAAAAGAACAGCAATCAGAAGTAAGAGCATGAGTGAGATCATTGCAAGTAATCTAAGCACAGGTGTTTTTCTGTGGTGGTGTTTAAAAAAAAATCTTAAATTATTTGGAAGAAACAGAATCTTTTGTGTTTCAGAATAAGTGGATTTGTTACAGATTGGTTTCCTAAGGAGAGGAATTGGTTGGTGGCTAAGCATGCAACAGAATGATATAGTAGTAACTGGTGGAAAAATGTGTAACAGCATAAATAAAATAAAGTATAGGGAAAGAAACTCTAATAATAAAAATGCATGTTTCCTTAGCTTTATGTATTTTTTAACTTTGACTCTTCAGCTGAATTAATTTCAGAAAACACAATACACTTGTAAATCTTCTACTAAGTAACCATCAACAAGAGAAAATAAATTTTTTACTTTCATGTGTATGCATGCGTATTGAGCATGAAATACTGAAAACAAACCAAATACATTATCCTCTGTGATGGAGAAGAGCAGTTATATTTCTTCCAAGACTAATATTCTCTCAAGTTATTTAATGTTGTCTTCCCCCATTCTTAATTCCCAACCTCATTGTGATACATTGCAATTTTTTGCTATTTTTTTTTTATGAATTTTGCAAATTCTTGTATCTACCTATAAAATATAATGGCAATAATGAGGAGTTTTCTCATCCCTAATTTATTTATTCTCATTCCCAAATTTATCACATATTGATTTTGAGTGTGTTCTACATGGATTAGTAGTTGTTCAGACTTACGCTGTTCTGCCTTTGTACTTCAGTGTATGCCTTGATGCATGCCTGTGTATTAAAGGGGCAAAATCCTAAGGTTATACTTTCCCTGACGCCTAGCAGAAGAAAGAGAATTAGTCAGTACTTGCTGTGGATGCTGTTGAACAACGCAGTAGCTATGCTGTCACTAGCGAGGGAAATTTGCGTTTTCAGGCAGGTTTGTGGTAAGGTTTTTGGCAGACTTTTCTTGTAGGCTTTCATTGAAGAGCAAGAACCGATGACAATAAATTGTAGAAGCAGGAAGAGGTTATTTTGACTGAGCTCATTCATGATTTGCTTTCCCTGCTTTTTGTATTTTAAAATAAAATGGGGGGGGGGGGGAGAAATTGCATTAATTTATTTTAGGCATACTTGGTGAAATCCATTCTGCCCACATCATAGCTCAACTCTTCCATTTTTATGAGACAAAGAACAAAACAGTAATGTATGCAAAATTTGCCCTTCCAATGTTTATGGCTGCTATGAAAAAGAAAACTAGAATATGTTTATGCCCTGGCACTGGATACCATGGGGGACTCTGGAATCCTTTGGCCTATCTCCACCATACAGTTCTGCTGACAGTGATTCTCAGTTCTGAGTCTTATGATATGCAGAAGTGCCCCCATTCATTGGCACTGTTTATACTTGTCTACATAGTTACCAATTTTTATTGTTTTTCCAAAGACAGCCTAAAGGCATTGAGTTAACATACAGGATTTATAAAAGAATCGTTGCAGACTAAAAGATGTTAATTTGCAGGTAGTTCCATAAGCAAAAGAATCCAAAGACATGACTTCTATTGATTGGGGTATCACCTTTCCGGCATATATTGTCTTCATGAAATGGTACAGCTTTTCCCTGAGTGGGGGGAATTATTTTCATTATATTTATGGGTAATTGATACTTTATTTAAATTGTCAATATGTGAAATTGGCAAAAAATCTAATATTTTTGGAAACACTGGGGACAGTGAGCAAAACTGGGAGACAGCACACTCATTTTAGGAAAGGTTAAAAGTTACAGTGTGAAAAGTATAGGGATGTTTAAAACATGGTCACACAAGCTAGATCCAGAAGTTTTGCTTTAAGGAGTTATTGCTCCAGCTGTTGCTGGTCCTTGGTTGAAATTTAACTGCTGAAGGTGGTTTGAAAAACCCAGCAGACTTTGTATTGAAGTGGAACCAGCAAAGTATCACAAGTAGCATCTCTGACATATAGACAATAACCTCCAAGCAAGGGGCAATAGCAAGTTAAGGGTGGCTTTAGATTAAATCACTACAGCTTCTGCATTATTGCATGATTATATCTGTAATTTTTGACTGGCTTCATCAGTTATTTCTGAAATAAAACCAGATTATTTCCTTTGGGATCCACCCTCAGTCAGTAGTCGTGGGAGCATTTCCACAGTATTTCTTCTGAAAACCTACTAAGTCCAGAGTGTTAAGTATTTTAAACATGTTGCAAACCTAGCTATCCCATCCATTTATCATGCATACAGTAGATCAAAATTCATATACAGTTCCCAATTTAAAAATGTAAGAAACTATCAGTTTTCTACGTATTTCCTGCTCATTCAGATAAGTACATTATATCTCTCTGAATCATTCCTTGTTATTTTTCTTACTTTCATTTTGAAAGTTGTGATCTTTCTTTGTATTTAGTTTTATTTCTCATCTGATAACTGTTTACCTTGCTGAAACCAGCATGTAATGGTCTTATTTCAGTTTTCACATGATGTTTATTGAGGTTAAATTCTTAAAAAACTCTGACAATATTGCAGAATTTTGGATATTACTGAACCCTGCCTTACACAGTCTGGTAATGGAAGAAATGTATCTTATACCAAATAACAAAACAAGAGTTAATGTTTTTTTAACAAAAAATCTTTATTAGCTGTTTTCAAAGCTTGTACCTTGTTTAGTGGAGATTTTTTAGGCACTGTAATAATACAATACTAAATATATCTAAACAGTATCATTGTTTGGTTTGATAAACTGGAATTTATCTATTTATTTATTTATTTGATCCAGGGAAATTACCGCTTCATGAAGCTTTTACTGGCTCGTAGAGGGAACTGGATGCAGAAGGATTTAGAGGATATGACACCATTACATTTAACTACACGTCACAAAAGCCCAAAATGTTTAGCTTTGTTGCTAAAGCATATGGCACCTGGAGAAGTGGATACCCAGGACAGAAACAAGGTAAAAAAAATGCTTATTTTAAGACAACATTTGTAACAACTTTAGAAATTGGTGTTACATCAAGCAGTTGTGTGTGATTTTTTTTTTTTCTGTCATAACAAACTTTTTCTGAGTCTTCAAAATAGTGGCCAGCGCTGGTGTTATAATGATCGCATCTCTCACTCCTGTTCCTCAATGGAGGAGGGATGAAAGGTGGAGAAAATAGGTTCAAAAAACTCATGGGCTGAGATAATGCACTGGGATAAAGACAAGAAGATTGATTACTTGTTACTGTCATGGGCTAAACTGACTCAGCTTAAACAAAATGAGTTTTATCTGATGCCAATTAAAATAGTTTTGCATATTGAGAAACAGAGACAAAATTTAGAACAACACCTTCAAACCACCACTACCCCTTTTTTCCTGGCTCAATTTTAGTTCTCCACTTCCATCCTCAAGGACAGTCCAAAGGTAAAAGTATCTACCCTTAGACTAAGTCTGTCAGGGTGACTGTCTTTTTTTCTGTATCTCTGTAATTAAAAAGGGACAATTTTTAGAGTCCCCTAGTCATAGATGACTTTTTTACCTGGGATAGAATGTGATGCCATTTATCAGTAAGATTTTCTAAGAGGGTCAATAAAAAGTACCAAGTTATTGTTGTTATTATTGTATTAAAATGGACCTAGTGGCAGCAGAAGGTCTGCTCTCAATGCATATGCACTGTTGCTTCCATGAATGTATCATTTAGTGAGAGGGATGTGATGATGAAGTTGATCTGGCATGAGACATTCATTTGAAGCAGACCACCTGTTAGCCACTTTGACATTTATTTTGTGAAACTGCAGACTTCCTCAGGAAAAAATGTAATCTTACTATCTGCAGAGCTTTACATTACTACCTTCTTAGAATAAAGGCCTTCAGACTAATTTTCTGTATCGGTATTGACAACAGTTGCTTCAAAGGCCAGGAAATCTCGAACTGACTTTCCAGGTATATCATATAATACATATGTTGTCATGACTTGTCTCATGTCCCTTTGCAAAGTGAAGTCATGCTCTACCACATCAGTAAAATAACCAGGCTGCTTCAGATGCTTGTTAAAAAGGACTAGCATTAAAATGACCATGCAGAAGAGATGTCAGATCTTAGAAGGAAAGTGATACAGTTCTGAAAAGAGCTGATTTACTGTTACTTTTTATGCAGAGGGGTACTGCCAGTCCACAGTAATAGCACACTAACCCATTTTAAAAGAGGAAAGTTATTTAGCATATAGTAATTGTATTCTTTTTTAGGTGCTCAAATTAGGGTAGTTCTTAAGTTGGAGTGCTTAGCAATGCTTGCTTTAAAACTGATATGAAGCGGTTGCCTCTGTTAACATTATTAGTGAGTATGAAGAGACATAGGATTTTCAGGCAGTCCAGACTGACATTCTAGGTAAAGCATTTCTTGTGTTTCCACATATGTTTTGAACTAAACAGATTCATCCTTCTTGATGGCATGCTTGTTGTGTGTCCTGTTTTGGAGATGATCACATTGCCTTTAGTAGACGCATCTTTAGTAATTATTGCAGACCTATTAATCTGGAAATATCTGGTTTAAATTTTGTCTGCTTGAGCAGTTTGTGTATTCTGAAATCTGAAAGAGACTTCTTTCAAAGATCCCAGAGATAGAAATGTTCTCTAAGGCAATTTTTTCCTGCAAGGATATGGTAACAAAATGTGGGACACTGAATGTGGATAGCAAAAGGAAAACCAAAAAGCAATTATGTAACTACCACTGGCAAAGTAGGTATGGTGTGGAGTAGAACTGGAACTGTTACTGTTGCTGGAGGCTTTTTGAGGGTTGGGCAGGTAGGTCCCTTGAAGTTTATAAGTGATCTTGGAGCTGGTGAGAAAACTCTCCCCACCAGCCTCTAATCTGTCACTGATTCAAATAGGAGTGTCCTGATGAAGTGCATTTGGAACCGCTGATAACCAGTGTACCGGCTTGACAAGGCTGGTGTTGGGTTTCCATTCTACCACAAGAGGTCACAGTAAGAGGAGGCTGGACTCCTAGTGATGTAACTGCTTAAACTCTGAAACCCTTATCTGATTTTATCATCTAGGAAGCAGGATAAGACAGCTGCAAGCCCAGTTCCCAACAAATGAATCTTCTGTCCTCTCTGGACAATGGAGTTGAACCAGCCTGTGGCCTAGTGCTCAGCTGTTTGCCTTCCAGGATATTCTAACATGTATCATGGAAACCCTGGCTATAATTACAATAGTCATTCTGGAGAGGTCATGCTGACTTCCTGACCATGTTAATTAATTGACAAAGGTAAATGGAAACCAGCCAAAACCTTTTAGGAACCTTGCCTGTTGTTTAGCAGATTTCCAAGGCAGTATTAAGGCATTGCCAGATTTCCCACAAAATGCAGAGCACTTTTATTCCATTTTGTGTCATGAGTAGTCACAGTAGCAAAGATGGAATTCAGGTTGATTAAAGGCGGTCTCAGGGACAGAGTCCAACAAGTTTGACCCTGTTAGGCACAAAGTTTTTTAGTTTCCGTTACTGCAACTTGCACATCAAGATTGTCAAATGTAATTCCTGAACGCGAGGGAGGTCTTTCACTTCCATGTAGGCAACTGGCTGAAAAGCAGATGTAGGTGAGAGAAGCCAGTAAACCAAGGCTACGTTGGCCTCCCGGTAATCAGAAGTTTTTGTTTTCACTGCAACTGTCAGTTTCTAGGAATACTGATTAGCTCTGCTTAAGAAATAGTATTTATTAACTTACTGCAAATTTCTACTGCTAGAAGTTTTTTTCAGTTCAAATCCTGACAGGCTGTGATGGTTTGAACATGCTTTATGGTGCTATGCTGTATGTTGTTGTATGTGGTGTCAGCTGTCAGACCTTTCCTTGAAGCCCCTGCAGTTATGTCTTAGAATGAGCTCTTTTCCAGAAAACTACCAAGTAGACAAAAAAGTTGTGCTATCATATTATCTCACCATGGTACTAAACTAACAGCTTAAAGAAACAAACACAAAAAATGGGCTCCTTTTTGCCTTCTTCCTTTACAGAGATGTTAGGGATACCATAGTGAACTCATACGTTCTATCTCACTGTTCAAGGATGTTAATCCAGGGTATTGTAGGTTTATACACAGATGTCCTGCAGCAGTGCAGCAGTTATTTTCTGTTTTCAAATCAAAATAATTTGTAGGGGTCAGGGGAGAAGAGAGGTGGGAAATAAAATTCATTCTGTATCTTACAACACCCTGTTACTTGGCAGTTGGGATAGATGTGCCTGATAAATGAAATGCTTGTTAATGTACCAACATTTTGCTGTTTAAAGGAACCCCACACATTGGTTTATTCACGTAATTGTGAACACTGATAATGCCCATAAAAAGCCACTGGTAGTCAGGAATTGAAGAGAGATCTGCAAAGGGTTAACCTCAGAAAGAGAGAGTTCAGGGGTGATCTTACCAATGTGCATAATGGGAGGCAGTAAAGAAGATGGAGCCAGACTCTTCTGATTGGTCTCCAGTGAAAGACGAGAGGGCACAGGTTAAAATAGAATAAATTCTGTTTAAACCTGAGAAAATATTTTTTTTACTGTGAGGGAGGTCAAACACTAGAACAGGTTATCCAGAGGGGTTGTGGAGTCTCTGTGAAGATAACTAGAAATCTGACTGGACATTATCCTGATCAACCTGTTCTAGTTGACCCTGCTTTGGGCAGAGGAGTTGGACTAGGTGATCTTCTCTTTCATTCTGTAAAAATGTAATTAAATCATATTTCAGGTTCTAACCAACTTTAACTTTCATCTTATACTCATTTTTCATCATGTTTGTAAAACTTGTGAATATTGTGTTCCAGCAAACTGCACTGCATTGGAGTGCCTACTACAATAACCCTGAGCATGTGAAACTTCTCATAAAACATGATTCAAATATTGGAATCCCTGATATTGAAGGAAAAATCCCACTTCACTGGGCAGCGAACAACAAGGACCCTAGTGCAATTCACACAGTGAAGTGTATTCTGGTAAGAAAGCCTATTATATATGTAACACTTTCTGTATTTATTACTGTACTCTGATAGAAGTCTATTTTTTTCTCTTGAAATTTCTTATTTTAGTCCACTGACTCCTTGATAATGAAATCATTTGCTTTTCCTAATCTCCAGAATTTTCTAAGAAATCATCTGAAATATTCTTGCTGTCTTGAGAGGGGTTTTTTTGAGTTCTGTGGGTGAATATCTTTGCTCTAACTTATGGATTATATACATACTGTCTTAATTAGTTTGATGTAACTATTCATTTTGGAGATAAGGAATGGAGGAAGGGGTTGCAAGTTCTAGTTAAAATGGCCAGTTGTATTACTCATCTTGGTTGCATCTTGCACACTGATTTCTTTCTTGTGTGGCTTTTCTTCATCATTTGAAAGTTTATTTCTAGTTAACTGTACTGAAAAGTCTTATTTGGTCCTTCAAGTCAGAATTCTGGGAAGTATTTGCTCAATTACCAGTCTGCCTATGATCAGTTTATTGAGAGACTTTCCAAATATTTTTGTGTACAGATTTAATATTTTTTTCTTGATGGCATATTTTCTCTCTCTTCAGTATTTCAGTTTCATTTTATACACTGACAGTTCTAATGAAATCACATGTTCAGCTTGATCTTCATGTTGATTTTTATTCTGTGGAAATCTCTGAACTTCACTAACATGGAAAGATGCAGAAGTTTCAATTGAATTTTTCTCTCATGTTACAACAGTCTCTCTATATCTTTGTCTTTCAGAAGTAGGCAGATATTGATTGTAAGCCAACTACAATGACTTACACATCAGTTTGCCTGATTAGCTTGCAAGTTGTGAACTTGTGTGGCATATGAATATCTGTTTTGCTTTTCTGCAAATCACATTGATAATTTTACAATTACTGATAGTTTTCTAGTATGAAAATAGTTTTTGAGAAGTTTCTGGTGTTAAGGTTTTGGGGGGGGGGAGGGTTACTACTTTTGCTTATTCAAGATACTTGCAATTTGGACTGAGTTGTGAAATAATTTGTCACAAACAGAATTTTGTCACAAAGTTTCAGTTTGTATATACCATGTACTTTTCTGCCACACTAGAGAAAAAAATCTGCTGAAAAGTAGGTAAGGATTGCAGTATTCAAATACAGACTTTTTCAAATGTTACATAGTCCAGGTAAATGGTTTTAAAAGTTGTGGTTGGTTGACCCCAGCCAACAGTGTAACTTCTGCACAGCCACTCGCTCACTTCCCTCTTGCAACACTGGAAGAAAATAGAAAGAAGGCAAGAAGACTTGTGGATGAAGATAATGGCAGTTTAGTTTGCAAAGTAAAAGCTGTGTGCAAGAAAGGGAATTTATTCACTACTTTCCATCAGCAGACAGATGTTAGCCACTCACAGGAGAGCAGATAAAGAGCTTCAGCACTCTTAATTGTTGTTTGGGAAGACAAATGTTGTAGCCATGAGCATCCCCCAGAGATTTTTTTCTTACGAGAATGATGTTATATGGTACGGAATATTGCTTGGGTCTGTTTTGATCATCTGTCCTAGCTGTGTCCCCTCACAGTCTCTCACCCACTCCCAGCCTACTTGCTGGTGGGAGCAGGGGAGCAGGACAGGACAGGACAGGACAGGGCATGAAAAAGAGAAATCTTTCATGCTGTGCAAGCTCTATTCAGTAACAGCCAAAATAATGGATGTCTTATCAACAGTTGTAATCACAAATACAAAGCCCAGCACCATACCTGCTGCTGCAAGGAAAATTAACTCCATCCCAACCATGTACTAAGAAGGTGAAAAATGTGTGTCTCCTTACTGAGGGTGTTCTTGAAGATTCTGTTTGAGTAACACAGGATCATGATCATGTCCATTTTTTTTTTTTTTTTTTGGTTTTTGATGATTTTTTTTTTTAATCTGACAGTTAAAAGAGTGTATTCTTTATTCCATCTAGGTTTTTTCATGCATGAACAAAATTTATATATTCCAAATTATATTTCATATAGTTATAACTATATATGCTTATTGATGGAGTGAGATAATAGCAAGTTTAAATGAAAAAGCAATTTAGCTTACAGAATATGCTGTAAAAGATGATGATGCAGAAACATTATCAATCTGTTGTTGAGTTTAATCCTTCAGTAAGATCTTATCTCCAAACCAAAGTGTTTTTCTTACTTGTCTTGATAGATGTCTACCTAGCAGAGTTCACAATCTTCCCCTCCTTTCTTAGCTACTTTTTTTTTTCCATATTGCCCAGTTCCTGATCTGTTGCCCAAGTATCATCTTTTCATTCCTCTTTAGGTCTTCACATCCAGGTTAACTTTATAGTTTTTCACATCCTTTCTGTATGATATTTCTAACATACATACCCATACAGTTAAAATTTCGGTCGTTTTGTGTCTTAACTCACATAACTGCATTTCTAAGTTCATGAGAATATTGTCCAGTAGTGATAGCAGTGCCTTTGCCTACAACTCTGTGTCATTGTTGCCTCTCCATTTTTTCAATTACCTCCAACACAAACCATTTGTCTTTGCTTTCATGATAAAGTGCTATAAGCAGTAAGCTATATGCTGTTGCTCAGATAGCAGTCAGACATGGATAATCTACCTCACGTCAATCTGCACTGGCAACCTCTGTTGTCTGCTAAGTTACAAAAAACAACACTGCTGTTGTTTCTCTCATGTTATGTTTAAAACCCTGGAAGAATTGCCCACAAAATTATTTTTCTCTAGTGTCCTACTGAGAATTCTCTGGTGCTGCTTTACAAAAATTTGACAAAAGTTAAGCTGTTGGTTTTATTAAGACCACAGGCTATGATACTGAAAAATACTCTTGTTTTTCCATGCTTTGCCATCTGGATGTGTCCATTTGTTGTCTCCTGTTTATAAATTCATAAAATTAAGGGTCGTCTTTCTGTTTGATGTTTGTTAGCCCATTGGAATTGCCAAAATAATAATGAAAAGAGCTCAGCTGAATGTTGAACAAATAGGTTGGGTTTGCAGAGGTGACAGTCACACACAAATTTATTGTATCTGATAGTGAAATCCATGAAATACAGCAAAAATGGAAATCATGACATATTTGGAGAGTAAACATGTGAAGTAGAGGGAAACTCTAATCTGGAGAACCTCTCATGGTCAACTTCCTTTTCCACCTTTCCAGATTCAGCAATGCTTGGTTACATGAAAACGTTGGGAAGATGTAAGGAGAAAAGAACAGAATAAGGTTCCATTAATATGATGGAAGCAACTGCTTAGTACTCTCTGTCTATTTTGTATCTCTTCTCTTTATTTATTCTTCATGGTAAGAGACATGATATTTATTTATACAACACTTTCCATATTGCCTACAATTCCATTGTTCTAGTTACCACAGAAAAAATGTGTAGATTCTTTCTTCTGTGTATTGTGCTTAAAATATTAATATAGTATGACAGTTTAGTTATAGCTAGTTAGACACCAAAACCACTTAAAATCTAAAGGAATTATGCTCTTTAATAGGCAGAAAAAGGTTTAGAAGATTTTAGTTAAAGTGGCCAAAATTTCAGAACACGTGTACTTTTACACTAGAATATAAGCAGTAGAAGTAGTAGCTTTGTCATTAAAAGATTCTTTATCGTTTTGCAAAAATAACAGTTTGGTTATGAGGAGATGTTCTGAGCAACATCAGTGTCTTTGAGACGGGAGTTTTAGGAATCATGTGTTTAATATGTTGTTGTGCTTTTAAAAAAATTACCTGTCCAGATTACATCAGTAAATTGCAGGTGAAGTGAAGAAGTATTTATTTCCTTGTTTGTGCATTTTTTCCAAGCAGGTTTTCCAGTGGTTGAGTTGGAATTTCAGTAATAACTTCTGTGCATATCATCATTCATTTTTAGTCATTCTGAGAAAGTGATTCTCATAAAGATCCCTTCCAAATTTTTGTAGTCGGCTCTTTACTCCCCCTGCTGAGCTCTTTGGAGACATGGAGTAAGCATACTATCAGTTAGCTTTCTCTTGAGAATTATTAAAGCTAGGGAAGACAAAACTTTTCACTGTAATGACTCAGATAAATGCTTTTGAATGCTTATTCAAAGAACTGTTTTTCATGCTTTGATTATTGTGGTTTGTGCGTGTAACAATGTTAACTTTACAGTTGTAGTCAAAAGATTCATATTTATTGGTTTTTTCTGGTTTTAATAGATTATCTGTTGTACTACTGGCTAGATAGATATAATAATGACCTACAGTATGTTTAAGTATATTAATTTTTTCTTCATCAAAACATAGCTAGCTACTAAAATCTAAAATTGATGCATTTTTTTATATGTGAGGCAATTTAATTAGCATTTGCGTACAGTGTGCAAAGTATGTGAGGTTTTAACTTTAGAAAACTTACATTAATCAACTATTAGAGGTTTAAATTGACACTGTTAGAAAGACAATGAGAATCAATGATTCGGGGTATTGCAGATTGAAGTTACAACTGCAGTATTAATTTAGCCATATTGTACTTAGGAAATACAGTTAAATGTATTTATGTTTTTATCTATTAAATAGAACATACAGAATGTACAACCCTGGTCAATTAATATTGTATAGAAACCATAACTGTAATTTCCTGGCTTTCTGCTTCTTCATTTATCATTCTCAATGTTAGATGTTTGTTTTCTATGTAACAGTTACTGCATTTCAAATAATGCAAATACAGGTGATTTTATGGCCTATATACCTCGTGAAAGTCAAAATTTCACTAAGTTTAATGAGAAAGGGATCAGGAACTTGCTTTAACTGTTAACAAGTTGCACTGATTACAATCTCTGTCTTCCTTCATAAGTATATTTTCAGATGCAGTGTGGCTCTGTATTTTCAGGAGGATTCTTGTCAGTTTTCATGATTTGAAATCCACTCTAGTGTTAGAAGTTAAGTATATCAGGACTACATTCCTTTTTTCTTTTGCACAGGGTTCCTACAACTAAATTGCTGGAGATACACTCCCTAGAGTTTATTTAAGCTCCTGTTTCAACATTCTGCTTCTGCTCTAAATGATTGGTTTCCTGCATTCTGAGTGTCTATTGTTTTATTGTTTACCATATTCTTTAGATGCATCTCTTTTATCAGGAAAGTGAAATTTAAAGTTTGTATTTCATGGCCTTTATGCCTTTATGATATTTGCCATGTGGAGATCTCTGCAATGCTAAGATGATATTCTTTTATTTGCACGTGTTCTTTTGCCAGAGAAAGAAAGACATGAAGAGAAACCTGTCTAGAAAAAAGTTGATGAGACAGGAAATTATCATAATATGAAACTATATAGCTAGGAGCCTATGTGAAAGTAATTTATTTTTTAAGAAAATGTGATTAAATGTCAAATTATATCTGTTAATGGCTATGTTATGCGATCAAATGACTAATCACAATACTTTAAAAGATTTTTATATTCAAAATTAAGCCCATTACAAGTAGATGCATTCATTAGAAGTGCTCCTTAACTTACTTCTGTCAGCTAGAGGCATTGACAAGTCCTTTAGAAATACTGATAGTTACATGGTTTAAAAATACTAGAAAAATATTATGATGAAAGCCATAAGATGAACTTGTCCGAAAAGGGGAGTACCCTAGGAGAAAAAATATGAAGATATATGTGTTGTGTTCAACTTCGAAAATCAATTAAGAAGATCTAATTATTTCCACAAGAGTCTGAATTAGTCTTTTAAAGATCTGTGCAAGGAGCCACTTGCACAACAGTGATAGAACTACAGGGTATGTACTGAAAATTAGGTCTGTACAGTAATTTAAGAATAAAATTTCATAAGAAATACTTGAAAATAGCTTGTACTGTGACAAAAGTCTTTGGTTGTAGAGCTATATTGTACCAAACAAGGACAGTTTATCTCTTTATTATCAGACACATGCACAAAAAAAACCTGTGAAGAGTATACAGCTTTTTCTTCAACTTAATTTTTTTATTTTTTTTTTTAAAGGAAGCTGCACCTACAGAATCTCTGCTTAACTGGCAAGATTATGAAGGACGAACTCCTCTTCATTTTGCTGTTGCTGATGGGAATGTAGCAGTTGTTGATGTCCTGACCTCTTACGAAGGCTGCAATGTGACATCTTATGACAACTTGTTTCGAACTCCCCTTCACTGGGCAGCCTTACTTGGTAAACTGGACAGTGCTAAAGTTATAGAATCACAGAATGGTTTTGGTTGGAAGGGACCTTAAAGATCATCTAGTTCTAAACCCCTGCCGTTGTCAGGCACATGTTCCACTAGATCAAGTTGCTCAAAGCACCATCCAACCTGGCCTTGAACACTGCCAGGGATAGGGCAGCCACAACTTCTCTGGGCAACCTCTGCCAGTGCCTCACCACCCTCACAGTGAAGAATTTCTTCATTAATGTCTAATCTTAATCTACCCTTGTTCAGTTGAAAGTCATTCCCCCTTGTCCTTGTAAAAAGTCCCTCCCCAGCTTCTTGTCAGCCTTCTTTAGGTACTGAAAGGCTGCTCTAAGGTCTCCCCTGGGCCTTCTCTTCTCCAGGCTGAAAAGCCCAACCTTTTCAACTTGTCCTCATAGGAGAGGTGCTCCAGCCCTCTGACTATCTTCATGGCTCTCCTCTGGACTCAGTCTAGCAGTTCCATGTCCTTGCGATGACTCCCATTGGGGTCTCTTGAGTGTGGATTTACAGGGAAAGAATCACCTACCTCAACCTGCTAGCCACACTCCTTTTGGTGCAGCCCAGCACATGGTTGGCTTTCTGGGCTGCGAGTGTACACTACTGACTCGCATTGAGCTTCTCAACCAACACCCCCAAGTCGTTCTCCTCAGAGCTGCTCTCAATCCATTCTTCACCCACCGGGTATTTGTATAATTTATAATTAATTGACTGTGGTGTTTAATCTGTCTGTCTGTTTTTTATTTAATTCCAGCCTGGCATTATGCGACTAATCTCTTAGTACAATAATAGTTTCTGCTAGGCCACAATTAGAAGTTTGTGTGTAGACTGGGTTTTTTTTTAGCTTCAAATTCTCCAAAGCATTGTAAAGTACGTTACTTCCCTATGCTATATGTGCTCATGATTTTCAGGCAATTAGAGCATACTGAGATGTTCTTGCATGTGTGACTTTATTCTTAGGTAAAAAAAACAAAACAAGTGGTACTTGAGAGCAGTAGTGTCTGAAGTGGAGTATGCGCATCCCAGTGTGTATGCAAGACAGTCCATTGGAGTGCCTAAAGAAAATATCAGAACTTCTGTTTATATTATTTTTATCTGAAAAATAAGAAAACTTTACAAATGTTTAATATATGGATTGATACCAGCACACTCACTGGTGCATGTGTAAGATAGTCATAGGGTTTGCGAGGTGCCTGAGGGAAGTGAGTGCTTCATGATGTGAAGGGCTTGGCAGTGGCATCATCAGTCATTTCTTTGCTTTCAGCTTATTGTAATGTATTGCAGTTTATGTGTATCCAGTTAAGTGGATTTATGTATTGTATTATCTAGTTTTACCTAAATACCCTTCACAAAATAGACAAGTGACTTAAGATTCCCAAAAAGAAACCACAAGTGAACAACAAGAAAATGGAAGACCTGGCGCTTCTACTCCTACTACAAGCTCTCTATCAGACACATTATGACAGTCTAATCAGATCTGACAGGAAGTTTTATTCAGATTAAGTTTTTTTCTGTTCAGATTGCTATCCAGAGACTTAGAGGCTGTGTAAATTACATGTGTGAATTTTGCATGGTTGGGTTTTACAGGTTACAAAACTGCATCTGTGCGAAACGGGTAAAACCCTGATAAAATATAAATAATCTAAATACAGGGAAATGCAACTCAAAATGACAGGCACAAAAATAAAATTATTTGGAAAATTAATGTCCTATTTTTCATTCTCCTGTGTGCAGGAGGAAAAAAAAAATAACCACCATGTACCACCATGGATAAAAAGAAAGGATCTTCAAACACTTTCTTTTTTAACAGGCTTCATCCCCGTGACCCTTTGGGACTCTGTAGACAAAGAACGCCAATAAAAGAATCAAATTGCTCACTGGAGCGAGTTACTGTAACTCCGGTGACAATATACATGTAGTTTGATTATGTTTATTTAAAGGAAAAAAAAAAAAAGAGTGTGCTCAGATTTGCATTTTCATTCAAGGAGGGATATTGAATTTTTACGGAGAAATGGTGAAACATTTCAAGTGTGATAGGATCGTTCTTCCAAAGAAATAGTCATTATCACTTGGTTCAGTCCAAGAAGCAAAATTTATTGGTTTTTTTTGAAATTGATTGTATTTAAGAGAGAAGTTTTGTCTGTTGGAAAAATGGATTGTCTAATCAATGTGGAATAACGGGGGAAGATGTGCCAGGACCTCTAGAGTCCTTTGTGAACTTGATGAGGTCTCTAGGTGGCAAAGCCCATGGGGAACTTCTGATCAGTAAATCATGATTAATTTTCTGGGTTCTGTTTTTAGGTTAGATACTGAGTGCTCTACCTAGACCTCAAAGTCTGTTCATTTTCTTTTGGTTTGTTTTTTTTTGTTGTTGTTTGTAGTTGTTGTTGGTTTATGTTTTGTTTTTCTTTTAATAAGGAAGTGTTTAACTTCAGGATTCAATACCTATGTGGTTTTATTATATTATTTCAGGTCATGCACAGATTGTCCATCTCTTATTAGAAAGAAATAAGTTTGGAACTATCCCATCTGATAGTCAAGGTGCAACACCCCTACATTATGCAGCACAGAGCAACTTTGCTGTAAGTATCACATACCCTAATGTGAAGTAAATATATTTCGCTGAAATACTTGCAAGGTAGCAAACTGTTTGAGTTGTTTCCTATAAACCCAGTGTTGTCTGCACAAGCTTATTCAGCGTTTTCCTATGTTATGTGATATAAATGTGGTTAATTTCAAACTATCAAACCCACATTTTAAAAACCTCAATTGCTGTAAAAAGAAAGACCCTTTGCTCTGTATATTTTCACCAGAACACACAATAATCATTTAGGTACTTCAGTAGAAAGCAGAGTGGCACCTACTATTTTATAGTGCTTTCACTTTTTAAGGCTCATTATAGCAAAATCTGTAAGTGTCTAGAGTAAGATCACCTGTATGGGGAATTGCAGAGCTGCTTCAGTACCAGTCAAACCAGTCTTGTCTTCAAAGTGATTAACTTATGAATATTTGCTATAATGAATGAGCCGTTGTCTCTCAAAGCAGAGTACCTGTTGTCACAGTTCTCCATGAAAAGGAGATGTTTTGAAAAGGTTTTTTTTAATTTTTTAATATTTTTAAGATATTTTAAAAGTCAGACAACAAAGAAAATTGGTTTCTCAGCCTAAATTCTTATATTTTCCTAGAATTGAGATTTTTTTTTCCAAAGCTAAGTAGAAAACTCACCAGTTTAATGATTGCTGGTCATAGATGCTATTAAAGGAGCAGTTCTCAAGCACTGGAACTTACAAAGGCTTTTTTCGTGCTGCTCTGCCTCTCATAGTTGAGTTATGCTATGCATAGTAAGCTGAGGACTTGCATCTAAGTTTTGTTATTCATAACCGTTTACAAAAAGGGTTGTTTAGTGCCTAATTAATGTAGCTATGAAGCACATATTGCAGCATTTTCTTAACAGGAGTACTGATTTGGATCTTTCTTGCATACCCACGTGTTAATTTCTGTAAGACAAGTAATATTCCGATGCCCTTGGAATCATTCAAGTGAACAAATCCAGAAGTACTATTGAAAGAGAAAACTGACCAATGTATATTAATGCCACAGCTGTCAACTTCTTTTTCCTTGTGAGAGTGAGTTTTGGAGTTTTAATGGGGATTTTTCTGAAGTTGTCTTAGAAAGATCAAACAAATATTTTTTATATTGAACCTTTTATTGGAGCATATCTCTGTATATAATTTACACCTTTTTAGGGATTTTTTTAATTGGTGCTGATTATTTCCCATTATGTGGTATGCACAGTTTAAGTCTGACTCACATGCCTAAAATTCTGATTTTTAAAAGCCCTTCTTTCTAGTTTGAGTCAGACTCATGGGAAAGACAGAATGTTTTTATTTAAAATCTGGTGATTATTTCCACATGCTTTTTTTATTTTTTTTTTTCTATATTGTTACATTCCTAAAAATGATTTTTCATGCTGGCTTTCTTTCTCTGGGCTTGATTCAGCTGTATGAAATATCTTCATTATGTTGCTACCTTTTGATCCTACAAGCCAACCAAACTACGATATCATTTAGGATTTTGTGGGGAAATAGAGTAGGTGATGGAATCAGACATTCTTTATAATCTTGTGAACTTACAATGAACATAGTGTTTCCCATCCTACATGAAGAATCAGGCAGGAGAGTCTCATTTGCATCTGCAGGCTTTTTTTAGCTGGTGATGTATCCAAAAGCCCCTGTTTATGTGTGCTCAAATTATGTCTCTGGCTGCTCTCTTTTCTTACTACTCTGATTGTTTCTGAGCATCACTAATTGCTTTTTTTTTCTCAGTTACATACAAATCCTTGAGTAATTCCCACCACTGCATTCCATGTACATAGTCAAATAACGGAGTGGAGATACATCCATGTTTGTTTTGGCAGTAGCATTGATATATTTATTGTTTGAGAGTCAAATTGTTCTCTTCAGACTACCCAAGTTTGCATAGGCAGTTTCTCAGTTAAAATGTGATGTTTCTTAGTCCCTAACAAGAAAAAGAAAGTTGTTCTTTTGTGTTTATTATAAATATTTGCTTTGCTTTCAGTTTTCCCTTAACTCGATGTCTTATTCTTTACTCTGTTTTTTCTGTGGTTTACTTACTCGAATATGACATTTTAGGTGTTTAAAGACTGAGGAGACTTAGCCAGCACTTATTTATATGAGGAACTTGTTCACTAAGACTAACTTATCCCAAATTATTACCTAAGGAAAAGTATTTTTCAGAGCTTCTTAATAGTACAGAATGAAATGATCTATATTTACCTCTCTCCTTTACTGTTGTTTTTCAGCTTTATTGTTTTTGTTTTCTCCAGTTGTTTAATAGAAATAAAATACATGTATTTTTTCATGACAGAATACATGTAGAATTAAACAGATTAATACTTCTGGTTTTCGATTTCTTAACCATCCTGTTCTACTTTATTTTCATTTTGTTTTCAAATTATGATAACTTTATTTTTGAAAATAAATCACTGTGGGATTTTCTTTCACTTTCTCCCATTAAAAACTCTAGAAAGAAAGAGTGATTGAAGAAATCTTGCTAAATCTTAGTGGAAAAATAAAATTTATGTTTTTAGGGTATGTACCTTAGTATTGAAAAGGTCCAGTCTTCATACATCTTTTCACTTGCAGCGTTTCAAGTAGTGCAGAGTACTGGTAGGGTGCTGAGTTGCTGGCCTAATGAGTAGCCATTTGTGTCTGAGGGATAGTGATGGTCAGTGTGAGTACACAAAGCTATATACACATGCTGGTTTGTTTGGAAGGCTTAATGCTTCCATTCCTCATTATTTCTGGCTGGACCTTTTTACAGTAAACGGGTAGTTAAGACGAGACTATTAGATAATTCAGACTTTATACCCAAATTCATGAAGCTGTTAGTATCTTAGATCACATTGATGTGAGGGAGAAATTTCCTGTTTCTTTCAAGGGATGAAATAAAAAATAGTAGTTAAAATAAAAATCCAAACTAGTCAGTAGGACTTGGACATTTAAACACCTTTGTGATTATAAGGATTTGATTCCTTAGAGCCAAGGAGTTCTCATCCTATCCAGAGCAGTGATAGCAATATTTTTGGGTCACACAGGGAAAAGGATAAAATAATGTTTATACCAAAATAGAAAAAGAAAACAATGAAACCCACTTTTTTTCAGCTTTTGTTGGCAAGCCTATCAGTGGCTGTTAAGAGATGTTTACCAGCTGTTAACTACACAGCCTTTGTAGGGCATTAGACAGAAAAGGGAAAAACTTCCCCTAGTTCTTTTTCTAACAGTTGTGATTTCCTTTCCCTTCCCTTTCTGTGTGGCTTACTAAGAATTGAACAGCAGGTTAAACAAGTGGGTTAAGAGCTTCATCTGAATACAGCATTTGAAGAAGTAATTATTTTGCCTTGATTTAAATTTTAGATATTTTAGTGTAGCAGTTATAGTGGAAAACCTGGACTCTGATGTAAAGATTTTCTTTAAAAGAGAACATTTAAAAATTATTTTGATATTTCAGCAATTTGTAATATGTTGATATTATTAAATATTAGGAAATATAGCTCTGTTGCCTCCAAAGTACATTATTATTATTATTATTGTTATTATTATTATTATTATTTAGTTTAGCAAACCAAAATATTTGTATGTGCTGTCATATTTAGAACTGGAGCAAAAGAATGTGTCAGGAGAACCATTATTTTAGCATCATAGTATTAGAGTAATGCTTTGATAAGCTGATAATATTTTTCCCATTACTTTCCTTGCAGTGACTGCAGTGTCTTTTACTTCCTTACGATGAACACATGGTATCTGACACTAAAGAGAAAAAAGTATGAAATAAAGTCATAGTTAAGCATGCATTATATCACTGATGAGGAAAACAGCATAGCAGACAATACAGTCCTCCTGTTGAGCTATTACTCTGTATAAGCATAAAAAGGAAAAATGAAGCTTTGATTTGCTTCATCAACAGCTAAATGAGAACAATAGTTTCTTGTTACAGATTCCTTTCAATGTTAATTTTAATAGTATGTCTTTTCAGGAAACAGTTGAAGTATTTTTGAAACATCCTTCTGTAAAAGATGACTCAGATCTTGAGGGAAGAACATCCTTCATGTGGGCAGCTGGCAAAGGCAGTGATGATGTCATTAGGACTATGCTGACTTTAAAATTGGATATTGATATCAATATGACAGACAAATATGCTGGCACAGGTAAGATGTTTTACAGAAACAGGATGTTTTAGGTTAATGTGATTTCCACTGAATAAAAAACATTGTTAGAAACCATATTAATCTCTTCTGGATCTCTACCTTCATCCTAAAAATATTTCTTCATTAGTTTCATTATGTGTGTAAGTCGCTTCTTTGCTTTTTGGTGGGAAAGAAATAAACCAGTTAATTTGAAACATAGCAAGAAGAAGAAATGTATCCCTATGCTCCTATTTAGTTAGACCTGTAATCATTGGAAAGGAAGAGCTGTCCGGCATTTTGGAGAATAAAATTAAATATAATTGTATAAAAAGCCCTTTCTGAAAATGCCTGTTAAAAAATGTATTTGTAAATAAATAAATACTTTGAAACAATATAGAGCAAACTAACTAGTGAAGTGACTAAATTATTGTAATGAGAATCATAAGTACCATAGTTATTTATAAAGGTAGTGTCATTATATTAGATTAGAGCTATTGCACTTCTGTTGTCCAGATGAGATTAAATTTGATATCTTCCAAATTTATTATTCCATTACCTGCTCTAAGGAAAAGATAGGTGTGCAGTGCAGTGCTTCAGAATTCAAGGTCATGAAACTCAAAACTTCCTGTAGCAACTGTGAATTTATCTTCTTTAATTTATTAAAGTTATAAGAATTTCTGGTAGAAATATTGTACCTATGTAATACTTTCAACAAAAACAGAGTGACGGTTCTGACAGAGACAAGTGTTGAAGGATGTGCAACAGTGTTGGAAACACAGGTAAAAGTAGGGGAGCTGTATAATATGCTGATATCTGAATAAAAACCACAAGAATGTGGATATACTGGGCATAAATTGGAGGGGTTTGGTAGCAGGGGTCTGCAAGGGTAAACTCTGAGGTTATGAACCACCCTATGCCAGTCACAGCCGGGTCACAAATTTAGAAGTTAACTGCAGAAACAAATACTTAGGTATAATAAGAAGTAAGGTGATAGCCAAGGTGCTAGAGCACACACCCATGAATAATACAGTAGAGGGCATTTCTCCTGTAAAGAAAACTATGTTATTTTGAAGAAACAAGAATGTATATTTCAGTGTTTGTTTATATAAATTTTACTACAGTTGTTTTAAGTATACTGAGCATTATCTTTTGGCTGGACATACACCCAAACTAGCCTAAGGTGCATGCTTAGATTTAGGAAACTTGCAGCGTATATCTACCCCAACCAAAAAACAAGAATACAAGTTTAACGACTTTTCTCTTTTCAGACCACACTTCAAATAACATACAAATGGTAAAGAAACACAATGTCTGGGTTGCGTTGTTCAGGATTTGAAAGATAGTATGTATGAATATTACTTTCATATGGTGGATCTTTACACCAAAAGCCAAGTACAGTTACCATAAAATTCTATTTAACTATCTAAATTCTTGCTTTCATTACAAATTAACACACAAAAATACCATTTTTTCCAAGTTATGATAGTTTGTAATTCTTGAGGTTAAAAAAGTGCAACAAATAAAATCTCAATCTTCATGTCTGATGGTTTTACAGACTACATACTCTTCAGGTTTAGTCTTATTTTGTCTTTTATCAGTTCCCTTTTAAATACCTCACAGTATTGTTTTCAGAACTTAAGGTGCTGTAATGTAGTCACTGTGCAAAACCTCCTTGCAAAGGGTTTTCTTCTTTGCACAGTATCACATACTGTGTTTCTGAAATTACTCAGGTGTAGATTTCATGCTTGAATGATTCAGGTGGTTGGGTTTATTATCTTTCAGTCTTAAACCTTTCATAGCAGTGATGTGTAATCACCTTTTAATCTTGATTTTCTTGTAGGGCTTTTAATCCAAGGAAATGAATGGATTTTTCATTACTTGAAACTGCTTTGGTACAGAACACACTAATAGTCTTAAAGTAGGGACCTATGCTTTTCATCGCCTGCTGTCAAGCAATCTGAACTTTACCATTGTGCAAGCATGTGCAGTATCATGGGCTTTATTATAGTGAGCTGTAAAACTTGAAGCCCACCAGTAAATCACTCTCTGATTTCAGACCTGGCTTGTTTTTTGTTTTTTTTTCCCAAAGGTTCTTAATCATTTCCAAGTTTTGGTGAGGGAAAAAGTGTTGTATTCCGACGGGAAACTATGCATTAATAGAAAATAGCATAGATGCCACCCTGCCTGGGATACAGTTGCTGCGGAGAGTTCAAGGTTGTGTTTTTCTGACTTCTGTGTGCCAACTCAGTTAAGCTCAGTTATAATGTTGCGTTAACACAGCCTTTTGCATTTACTTAAAAAGAGCAAGCTCTCCATTCAGCTCTGCTAGAACATGGAGACTCTCTGTATTGTGTAGGAGAATGACACCAAGGGAAAGGAATTTCCTTCTTCTCCGAGATCAACACTGCAGGAGCATTACAGGGGCAGCTTTATAGTTCTGCCGTCACTGCGTACAATGGAGAGGGCTCTGTCTGTTGGCTGAACAAAGGGCCTATTGTGACCAGCTGGCTGAAGAATCTCTTCAGTCACCGTGACTCCATCACAGAAAATTTGGCTTACAAGAAAATATTGAGCACAAAGTGCGAAACAAGATGCCTGCGTCAGAATGAGTGATGGGGGGAAGAACCGGCCAAGCTGACACAGCAGCTCTTTTTCTATTGCATTGTTATACACACCCCATGTGTCATCTGATGGAGTGGTTTACTGCCTTTGGTTTCATAAAAAATGCAGTTACAGAAAACAGAACCTAGAGTTTACTGTGAGGCCAGACCATGAAAACCAGGCACATCCAAATGTACGGCGTGGCAGGGAGTCTCATTCTTGTCAAATTTCTACTGATAGCCACCCACTTGCATCACTACTGCAGATCTTGCTGCTTACAGATATTTTTCATTAGTGTGATAAGTGCCCCTATGCTTTTTAACTGGATATATAACAGTTAAACATCAGTGTCATCTTAAAGGCATGATTTCAGTTATTAAGGCAGCACTTCTCCACGTCTCTGGCTGTGACCCCAGTTCTTGTAGGAAGTACCTCATTTGTCTGGATCACAATTCCAGGTACTATCACTAATTTTGAGAGTGTGTGTTTTAAGGCAACACACTTCAGCTGGTTTTGATTCATGGACAGTGTGAACAACCTGTGCATTTTAGTAGTGCCTGTGTAACAGCTTATGCTGGGTTACTGTTTCAGAGGCTGTGTGAGGCTGATACCATTAGCTGGCAAATACAGAAAGCCTGTTTTGATATTCTGGCCATGGTTCAAGAAGCAATTCCTTCTAGCATTGGCCTTCATGGTGTGCCTTTCTATATAATGCCTCTGCTTCATTCTGACCCTGCCTACTTTAACATTAAACAAGTAGAGGCATGTAGTTACTGTTTACAGCCTCACATTTTGCTTGCTTAAGCAGGCTGAATTCTCAGCGAAGATTGATTTTTGTGAAATTTCATGGGGAAATTTGGATTCACTTTACTAAGTACACATATATGAATTGCATTGTTGTGTATTTTCATTCTGAATTATTTTGATTTTGTCATCTGTGAAATACTCTACACATAAGGCAGTATGAGAATGTAGATGATCAGATTCAATTGCTGACTACAGGAAATAATCCAAAGCATTTTAAAATCAAATTGTAAGTGAAGTCACCAATATATGTGTCCTCCATGGGTCTGAAATCTCATTGGTGTGTGTAATCCTCGTTTCCTCAAGAAAGAACCATGTACTGGTCAGACTGGCATTTCAACGTTTTCCTCAACTCCAGCTGACAGATGCTGTGTGATGCAATAATAGCAACTTCAGTTGTAGGACACCACATCTTTGCCTCTGAGGTCTAAAGTATCTAAAATAGCTTTGTGTTATTTGTTGGTTTGGACTCATTGAAGTCTGGAAGTGACTGAGTCCAAACCAACAAATAACACAGAGCTACTTTAGATACTTTAGACTTCAGAGATAAAGTTATGAGAGGGCAAAGAAAACTATGGAAGAGTAGGAGTCTGCAGAATCAACTTGCATAGTTTTTATACAAACAGGATTCATAAATTGTAGGGAAGAGACAAAATGCAGTATCTGGTTTTCCATCATCTGTTTCTTTTTCCTGAAGAAAAAAAAAGGCGCTGCAGATACTGTACGAGATGTGATGGCCTTGCTACATAATTTTATGTAAAATTTTCTCTAAGTAATTCTAAAAACAGAAAAAAAGGGGGTGGGGCAGGAACAGCTGAAGCTATTGCTGAACCCAGGACATTAGTACTCTGGAATTAGCTTCAATTGAGACAGCTTTGCTTATTTTAGAGAAATAAGAAAGGTATTTTTAGGAGAACATTAAATAATGAAAGCTTCCTTTCACTAGCAGTGGGCAGTTTCATCTTCATCAGGGTGATGTAAGAAATGACACAGAAGAGAGATAAAAGTAGGTCATGTTGTGTTCTCTAAATCAGAAGCTGCTAACCTTCCGCAAATCCTCTTTGTAAGCCACTCTCGGTGGTTTTAAAGTTAAAATGCATATTCGTGTAAGTCAGACACATGTTTCAGGGCTGGCAGTTCTGCTTATTGCTTATAAGGCAAGAAAATATGGTTAGTGATCCCTTGTTACAATTCTTCACTTTCGTGTGGTTGCAAAACACCTTTTCTACCAAAATGCTTGAAATTAATTTTGACTATTCTGGTTAGAGCTAATGGCATTGTGACTTGTTTTTCCTACTGCTTTATTCTTTCAGCCTTACATGCTGCTGCCCTTTCTGGCCATGTCAGCACAGTGAAATTGCTGTTGGAACATAACGCACAGGTGGATGCTTTGGATGTCATGAAACACACTCCGCTTTTCCGAGCCTGTGAGATGGGACACAAAGAAGTGATACAAACACTCATTAGAGGTCAGCTGTTAGGAATTTACAAACCTGTTCAAAATTCTGGTGCTACTTTCTGTGGGACTGAAAAATAAACTGTAGCTAAGCAAGAGACAGGGGTAGAAAATTACTTCCCTAAAGCAGGTTTTGTCTCTAAGTACCCTTTATAAAACAATGCTGTAAAAGATTATCAGAGTGTTATGCAAAAAGGCTTGAAGTGTTAAAATATAAAACTCAAAGTTGGGATGGTTCTTTTCACAGCTCTTTTCTGCTCCAGCCTTTTCAAGTACATTCTAGTGTCTCAGACTGCCTCTTCCCCTAGCAAGTCATTGTTTTTCTGTCCTTTTTTTTTTTTTCTCTCCAGTAAACAAAACCAAATTAAGCTTTCTTCTGTTTCATGAGAAAGCATTTTTAGGCTTCTTTGAAGACTTTTTGACCATTTAAATGAATCTTTCATTTTTTTTTTAATGAAGGTAGTCATCAGAAAACCTTAGTCATTCCCTGGAAACATTCAAGGTCAGACTGGACAGCCCTAGTTGAACTACCTAATCTAGTTGAAGATGTCCCTACTCATTGCAGGGGGTTGGACTAGATGACCTTAAAAGGTCTCTTCCAACTCAATTATATGATTTTAGAATTCATGTTTTCCTCTGGTTGCTTTTTATAGGTGGTATTTTATTTGTAGGCAAAAATAAGATTTAACAATACACACAGTTTGAGATAATTGTAGGAACTCTGCTGAAGTGTAAGAAGTATAGTGAAAGAACAGGGGCATCTTAGATGCAAAATAATGTCATTTTAGCTTCACGGAAATGTTCTGAGTAGCTGGAAGCAGTCTTCCTCCTCCCTCAGAATATTATCCCATTTAAGGGCAGTTGAAGTATCCAGTCTAATAAGAAGGTACACAAGTTTTCTATCCGCCAACCTTTCTTACTGAAAAGCTTCACTGGGCATATTTTAACCCCTTGTTGAGCTCTTCCTCTCACCCCCTGTGCCATTTAGCTTATGTAGATGAAAGAAGTTTGATTATCAGAATCTGAGTTATATTTAATTACATGTTTTATGATACAGACAGTTGTTGCTGGTGGATTCTAGTTTTTGTATTAGTGGAATTCTGTTTTGCATGGAGTTTTTTTGTCTTACAAGTACATGTAAAGAAATTAATTATCTGCATAGAAGAGTCTTGGCATGCTTGAATTTAAAAAAATCAAGCATTTTTCGAAAGCCATTCTTACACTGTATTTTGTCTGTTTTATAGACTTAAAATTCTTCATCTGAAGTCTAATCTTCAGAAGTGATTTTATAGATAATAGTTTCACTGAAAATTAATATAGGCTAGTTTTTTTCAAGGACATTTGACAGATCTGAAGATTCTAAAGCATCAGAGATGATGCTCAGAAGCTTGTAAGGAAGTTCGACGCCTGACCCTTACTGAAACTATGTTTGATTTTAAGTTTTAAGATTTGAGTAACAAAGGTGAAGTTACTTTCAGAAATCTTTCTCTGAATTGTCAGTTTACCAGATAAGTTTAGTTGAACATAGCTTACTTATTTTCTTTGCATTCAGAAGCATTTTCTTTTTATGTTCAAAAATGTATTTGTTGTTACAGGAGGAGCAAGAGTAGATTTGGTTGACCAAGATGGCCATTCGCCCCTTCACTGGGCAGCCCTGGGAGGAAATGCTGATGTGTGCCAAATCTTGATAGAAAATAAAATCAACCCTAACGTACAGGATTATGCAGGTAGAACACCTCTGCAGTGTGCTGCTTACGGAGGCTACATTAACTGCATGGTAGTCTTGCTGGAAAACAACGCAGATCCAAATATTCAGGATAAAGAGGTATGTTGTTATTCACTAAGCTGTTTAATTAACTTTAGGATAACCATAAATAAAAACATTTTGCTTTTCTTCATGGTAATCCTCTTTTCTGGGACATAGAAGCATCTTTGCTGCTGTTTGTCATAAAAGGAAATACATCCAAAAGGAAATACATCCTGTTGTAATGGCTTCACTTCTGAGGTCTTGAATGAAAAGAAGAATTTTATATGCAGCAGGAATTTAAGATTCATATTTTTGCATCTCACTTTTGACTTTTCCTTATCAAAATGTGAGCTTATGAGGAATCAGTCATTTGATTTCTTAATTTCTATTGTTCCTTATTAACAGCTGATGTGGGAATGTGATTTTATACCCTGCAGTGTGTTTCTTCAGCATAGAGATAAAGGAAGTAAGATATTACCAGTAAAACTGCACAAGAACTGCTTCCATTACTTATCCACATAAGTATCCACATAGGTATCACTCTTTCAGGAAAAAAAAAAAGAACGCTGATTAGTGTACGTGCTCTTTTGTGCCATTATTCAAGCAGTAAATGAAATTAGGAACCAGAATAATTGTGCAACATATAACAGATTTCTTTGTTATATGACATAATTTCTCAGAAGTCGGTAGAACTTTATCAGTCAAAATAATTTCACCCAATTTGTTAAACTTTTCTGTAGCTATTCATTGTAAGGCATGGATAATTCCAGGTAACGGAGAAGGATTTTTTTATCATGAGATCTACAGAGCATGCTGAGGTGATTTTGTTGCCAGCTGTGTATGGCATCAACTTGAGTACAGCTAAGCACACCAGCTCCACCTCTTCCACACAACACAACAGCATGCTCTTCAGCCCTTGGGGCTCGAGGGGCAGCTTGCTAGCACTGAACTCAGAATGTTCTTCTGCGGTACCACACCTTATTTCCTGCATTTGAAGTTCAGAAAAGCAAGATGCAGACAGGAGATATGGCCTGAAAGTGAAGTGAAATATCTATGTTTTGTTGATATTAACAGAACTTGAGGTAATCATATTGTGGTTCTGTGATCCCAGTCCCAAGAGTGGTTACGTATGACCTGACTTATCAAGTGCAGCTTGAGAGTCGGACTTGCTTCATGTGAGAGAAACTAGACGTGTGAAATCAAGCTCGTTTTGAAAGCACAGCTGGAGCCATTTTCTCCTTAAGCTTCATCTGATTTTGAATTCTGTAGTAATTATTTTAGTCTTGTCACAGTATTTTGGAGCAGCTTAGAAAACAGTCTGAACTACAAGACTTGATGAGAGCTGCTTCAGACCTAGGTGGCATAGCTGCAAAGAAACTGGCTCTAGAGCTAGTCTCCTAATCATGTTTTTCAGCTGCTTTATGTGGAAGAGCACGAGTGTTGTAATCTTGGTTTTTTTTTTTTAAAAAGATTACTTAATTTTTAAGTGTTGTATTCTTTTATTTTAACGGGAAAGTTTATTTAGAAGAATCACTCTGTCCTTCATGTCCAGAAAAGCATTGAATTACAGTATGATTTACAACTTTTATTGTGGCATGATGGAGTTTGGGGACAACATTTATTGTTGTTCTGCTGTGTTGTTTACAGGGAAGAACTGCTTTGCACTGGCTCTGTAACAATGGCTACCTTGATGCTATAAAGTTGCTGCTTGGTTTTGATGCTTTCCCTAATCATATGGAGAACAGCGAGGAGAGGTATTGCCTGTCTGATTGCATTATTTTGTAATTTAAAGTGCTGCGTACTGGTTTAAATGTTAAGTGTTCAGATATTACTAGAAAATCAGAATCTTGTGTCTAAAAGGAGTGCTGCAGTCTTCATTGTAAGCAGCTTTTCTAATGTGAAAATCTCTAAGTAAGACATTTCAACTTCAACTGTGTACACTTTCAAACCTTGAACTTAGATTTCTATGAGTATTTACTCATTCTAGTCTTGTTTGAAATATTAAAGATCTTTCTAAGATATATAAAGTTGACAGTGGATATGTGCAGAGAAAAGATGGATAAGGCATTTCTGCTGGTTTGGAGTAGACTGGAATTTTTCTATTTGGTAGGAATATAGTGAGGAGAAAGAAAACGTGAGAAATGTTACATTTTAAAATAGTAATTACAGATTACCTGGTGGTGAACTGTATGCTGAAGGCCTAGTTTTTAAAAAAAAAAAAGTCCTCCTATAATCATAAAGAGACAGTACATTTGCATCTCTTTTCTTTGTCTTTCATTGACATATAAATAATAGTTTTTTAAAAGTGATTTTGATTGTGGAGTTCAAATTAGCCACCTGACTGTGAAGGTAATTACTATTAGCAGAAATGTATAATGCCTTTTTTACAGTAGATGAACCCCTCATAATTATAAATAAAATTATGATCAGTATATGAATGTGAATATTTCAGTATATAAATGTGAATATTTCAACATTTTAAACATTTTAAATAACTCAAGGATTTTAAACCCTTCTATTTTAGTGCTAAATTCGAGTCTTCCATACTTATCCCAGTTTTAATTGCTTTCTTCCCTCATCATTTCTGTTTTGTTCTCTACTCTAAACCACTGAGATCTCTCTTCCTTTTCTATTCTTGTTTTTTTTAATTGAGAAACACAAATGAAAGTATAAGTAGTTCCTAATTATGTAGTGTCAATGGTCTCTTTAGTTATTTTTGACAGAAAATTAAATAAATAGTTGTAATTAAATTACTTTTCATAAGTAAGATTAAAGGCCACTATTTTGCCAGAAAGGAGGCTGCTATTTTCTTCACTTTGTACAAATGTTCTAATGACGTTCAAATGTCAGGAAAAGACCTTAGCTGTGGTTTTACTATAGTCATCCAGTTAGTATCTGTTTTTGTTTCCCTTCTGGCATTAATATATATTTTTACGTATAAATTTACATTATTCAAGATATAACTAGCAGTATTCCAAATGTCAGTCCTTAAGCACTATTTCACGTGCAGAACAAAACAGATTCCAAATATTTCTAGATGAAAGAATTTTTAAATAGAATAAATGTATATATATTGTATGTCAGAAATGCACAGTTGACTTTTAATAAGCATCTACAAATTCTTGTTTTATTTTTAAGAGATCGGAAGCTTGGAAAATGGAAAAATCAAGATGAGTGTTGTAAGAGAGTAAAAATAACCTTATATATATGGTTCCTCTGTAATTTAAGGAAATTGGTTTTTAATCAGTAACAATTTCACCAGATAGTAAAGTTTTTCAAGTATAACTATAGAAAGAAGCTTCCCTTCTTCACTTTCTTAGAGTGCAACATGAAATACCAGTTCAAAATTCCAACATAGTAGTTAAAACTAAATAGTTTTCGGAAAAGACGGAGCTGAGATTGCATCTAGGATTTTAAGCTGCCCGCTTGCTTGCAGGTACGCAATCAAGTGCCAGTCTGTAGAGTGGTAGGTTTGTTGTTCTTGGCAAATTTATTTCATAATCCAACTTGACATCCAGGGCGCATGACAGGCTAGCTGCTGCTTGACCAACTACGTGCTAAATTACGTATATAACAGCTGTTGGCTGATGTCTTCTTTGCATGTTTTCCTGTCAACCAAGCTTGATTAAAAAGCTGTCTGCTTTAGAGATAACCAGTGGAAAAGAAAATTCATAACAGGCTTTGAACTGAGGCAGCAGAGAAATGGCTCATTGTAAGGGGCACATGTGAGCAGCCCTGAATGGGAGGTGTCCAGTCATACAAACCCGTACTCAGATTTGATTTGAGTAACTTTTTTGCTTTCAGAGTTAGCTACAATGGGGTTAGAGAATCTACATTTAAAAATACAGTCTTTATAAGTGATAAATGCTCCATCCCTGGCAGTGTTCAAGGCCAGGCTGGACAGAGTCTCAGGTGACATGGTCTAGTGTGAGGTGTCCCTGCCCATGGCAGGGGGGTTGGAGCTAGATGATCTTAAGGTCCTTTCCAACCCTAACTGTTCTATGATTCTGTGACTGGGATCAGTAATATAATACATTGTCTTGGCACACACATGCTGAGTAACATGTGGGTAAAGTTTATTTTAGTATCTTTTGTGTCTTTAATTAAAATTTTCAAAACCGGTTATAATTTTAAAATGTGATTTTCTGAAAGGATGTCCCTCCTGAAGCTCCCATTATTCAGTTATCAAAAATCTGTATCTCTTTAAATGCTATCAGCAGCACACCTTGACATACAAATCTTCATGTTATGTCATTGCCTTTATTCCTGCAGACACTTTAGTTCAGATACTGTTAATCCTTCCATCAAATCATTGCTGCGTGGCAAGTCCAATTCTGCTTTCTGTCTGGTTTTCTTTGCTTACCAGCATTGTGTCCTAGCAAGTTACCATCAAGAGGAGCCCTAATTTTCACAGTCGCATGCATTGACACTTGCTATTTAATAGTCTTGTATTATTTGGTCTCGGTTATGGTTTGTGAATGATGATTTTCAGTCAGTAAATGTCTTTGCCTAATGTTTCAGTGTTGGTGAGGGAGGTATGTAAATTTTTTTTCCTGTGGTGACAATGGGAAATTTGGGAATTATTTTTAAAAGGGGTTAGGCATCTTTGACACTATTAAAAACCAAAGTATTTAATATTTTTAGCACCTGTATCCATTTGAAAACAGACATAAGTCTTCCTAGTGGTCTTTCTGCTTGGTCAGTCATACTGTCCTTAGTCTTTCTTATAGAAGCTAAGCCACATTTGACAGTAAATCTCTAGAACTGAAATTCATATAGGAGTAGCACAAAAAATGTTTTAACTTGCATTTTGTTTAGTTTATATTTCTCTATGAGAACCTCAGTAACACCTTTGTAAGACTGCTTGCCTAAAGCAGTTAATGCTATGTGTTGGGCTTTGGAGGATTTTGATCCAATATAGCATGTAGTCTGCCTCCTCCCCTCCCCACTTCTTTTTATATTAGGAGACTAAAGTAAGCCTTAAACATAGTCACAGTGTGTAGAATGAGTAAGACAGGAAAAAAGTATTAAAAATTTAGTAAAACAGCCTGTGTTAAACAGATGAAGACAGATTCAAAAACCATTGTTTAATCTGTCTTCATACAAGAAGGTCCCTTATTATGAAATGTGGATTAAGTAAATGCACATTATGGTTAGAATGCTACTTCAATGATAATGGTTGTGGGTTTGTCTTGTTTTGCTTGTTTTCTAGATACACTCCACTTGATTATGCCTTGCTTGGTGAACACCATGAAGTGATTCAGTTCATGTTAGAACATGGGGCTCTGTCTATAGCTGCCATACAGGACATTGCTGCTTTCAAAATTCAAGCTGTCTACAAAGGATACAAAGTTAGAAAGGCTTTTCAAGAGAGGAAGAATCTTCTAATGAAACATGAACAGCTGAGAAAAGATGCTGCTGCCAAGTAAGTCTGAGACTTGAAATCTACTCTGGCAAATAGATATTTGTCATGAGTTTGTGTATATATCAGTGTATGATTTTGTCTGTTACTCATCATCAGCTCTTATTCCTTTGAGTAAAATTCATGAAACTGTAGATGATAGATGGCGTATAATGGACTTTTTTCCATACACCTATAGATGGAAATTATTTTCCAGATAATCCCAGATTAAATAATAAGCTTTATATATTATAGAAGAACAGGGCAAAATATCAAAAGCTGAGAAATTAGCAAGTTAGCATCCACAAATCTTTACTTGATATTTTGTATGGTGATAAAAAGGCTTGGAAAACATTTATCACTCTAAGGTAATGGAAATAATTATTGACCTATGAAGTATTTTATATTAATTTTGAAAAGAAATTAATAATTAAATGAAGGAAAAAAAAGAAAGAACAAGCAAGAAAAGCCCGGTTTAATAAGGCTTACCTTACTGTTTCACATGAGAGGTTGTGCTTTGCTAGCAAACTGAACTCCCGGATTTTATTTTCAACTTCTGTTTTGGCAGTATCATTCTCTGCACTTACAATTTCTGCTCTTGAATTAGAGAGTTACCATGAAATCATTGTATTAGATTCTAGATAACTAACTTACACAATTGAAATAGTTACTTGTAAGAGTGTAGGTTCTGACTGAGTTTCTACCCTGTTTACATGAGCTGATAGTAGTAAAGTGGTGAAATTCTAAAATCAGAAGGTACATAAATGATCATCAAAATACTTCAGTTGCTCTGGTTTTATCCTTCAAGAATATTATATGAAGAAGAACAAATTAGCACCTGGTTTCTCATGATGAAATCTGATTCCAGAATAAAAAAAAACATAACAATCTGAAAATATTTCTGCATTATTTTGTAGTATTATTTCTGTAGAGAGGTCAAGTGAATAAGCACACAGAATAATCATTGCACCTAGAGATCTTTTTGTTGTATTTGTCTGTCATAGACAAAGTCAGCTTCACTGTGCTCTATTTCAATTTTTTGTATCTTGATGTTCTGCCTAACTGTCCAGTTTGACCTTCATTGGGTTTGAGTGCTACTACTGTACTGTTCAGTAGTTTTTAATGCCCAGAAAGAACCAAAACTAGAAATCTCATCTGAGTAACTGCTTGCAGAGTCTTTAGATGCTAAAGTTGTAACTTGCAGCCCTCCTACTATTTGTCTTTTTTGCTGAAGTCAGTAGAATTCAAACTCATGCATGGAGAAGCTGCCTTTGAAAATATCCCCAATATCTTCTGTGTTTCTTTTTAGTTTGGAAAACTCTGTTTCTTGCTGTATGGTCACAACTGACTACCAAATGAGGTAGCTTTATTCTTTATGATGACAGTAATTTGTAAAAGAATCTGTGCTACCCATTTAGAAGGTAAAACGAAGAAGGATTGCCTCATGGAAATTTGGAGGTGCTGTTACAATTATTTTCCTCTGTGAGTTTCTGATGTACTTTCTGAAACTTACTAAGCTGTTGTTGATTTGTTTGAAAACAATAGAAACAAAGTCTGCGTACCAAATACCATAAAAATAGAATTAAAATACAATTGGAGTGTACAAGCAAATCAAGTTGTCACATAACAAATTTTATTTAATTGCAGTTTTATGATCTGTAATAAACTGAAGGGACATTATGTTGTCATCATTCTGCGTACCCATCTGTGCGTTCCACAGCTAAAATTGGCCAGGGTGTTGCTACATACAAAAACCTAATATCCCTACTGATGTTTAAAAATCTGCTCTCCAGATAAAAGTAGAAGATATGTGGGAATCCAGAATGCTGGTGAACTCCTAGATTGAGCACCCCACACACACACTATTTCAGTGCATGTATTTAAAACTTGCTTTGTAATATGTTAGAGAGACTCACTGATATAAATCATTCCTAAGTCTGCATGGGTTTAATCTGTTGGGCTTTCTTCCTTAACGAAAAGTCAACCAACATCACATACCTGTATTATTTTCTGGTAAAGTTACATTGACTGTGTTAAATGCTTGTGAAATATTTCTGTACAAACATATTCACCCATGTTAAACAAACCTATGTCAAAGAAATGGTAATTTATAAAATGAAGCTTGATTCAGAGCAAAACAGCATGCACACTATTATGTCACTGAGCAAACAGACATATCAGGAGACCAATTTGGGTAAGCAGGGGAGCCATGATAGATCTCAGATGCAAAAGGGCAGTATACAGAAGGTGAAAGCAGGGATGGGCTGCAAAGGAAAAATGTGAAAACATTGCTTGGGCATGTAGGGATGGTGTCAAAAAAGCCAAAACTCAAATGGAGTTGAGGCTTTGAAGGGATGTCACAGGAAATAAGGTGAGCTTCTGCCCCTACATTAATATTAAAAGGTGAGCAAAGAAAATGTGGACCTATTGCTTGAATGGTGCAAATGACTTAGTGACAACAGACAGGTATGGCAGAAATACTCAATGCTTTCTTTTTCTCAGTCTTCACCAAGAATGTCTCCTAGGCCTCTGTGCTTAGGGAAGTGGTTCAAGGAGAAGAGCTGTCAGCTGTAAATCAGGATTAAGTCAGGGATCACTTGAGAGAACTCAGCCCAGACAAGTCCATGGAACCAGATGGGTTGCATCCAGCCGTGCTGAGAGAACTAACGGATGTCCTTAAAAGGCCACTTTCCAACATCTTTGAAAGGTCACAGAAGCCAGGGAAGGGTCCTCAATGACTGGAGGAAAGCAGATGTTGCACCCAACTTCAAAAAGGACCAAAACACACATCTTGTAAAAGGAAGAGCAAAGAAAGGGTTGCTCCATGACTGATACTAAGAAGTCTGAAGTGTTCTATGTCTTTTTTGTTTCAGTCTTTGTTAAATGTCAAATGATGCCCATTAGCAAGTGAAATCACACTAGTAACAAATGGCAGCAATGCAAGATAAAATACTGAAACAGTTCAGAGATTAGTGGATGAGTGAGGTGCTTTCAGATCAGCTTAGCCTGAGAAAGCTCATCGTGAGTTGTTTAGAAAATTGGGCAATATAATCTTAAAATGGTTACCCTTAAAAACTTTAGGAGGACTGATGGGATTGGAGAATCAAGGGCCACTTAAAGCAGCTTGCCCAGGACCATGTCCAGTCATGTTTTGAGTGTCTATGCAAATGGAGACTCCACAACCTCTGTAGGCAACCTGTTCCAGTGTTTGACCACCCTCACGGTAAAAAAAATGTGTTTTCTTGTGTTCAGGTAGGATTTAATGAATTTTAATTTATGCTTACTGCCTGCTGTGGGTGATACTGAGAACAGTCTGGCTCCACGTTCTTCGTTCCCTCTCATCAGATATTTATAGACATAGATGAGATTCCCCTCAGAGCCTTCTCTTGTCCAAGCTGAATAGTCCCAGCCTTCTCAGCCTCTTCTCATATGAAAGATGCTCCAGTCCCTTAGGGTGGAAAACATCAAAATGCAGAAGACTGTAAGCATATTGAAGACTAAATTAGAAATATGAATGGTGTTAAAATACATATGAGAAATGATTGAGGAAAAAACAGGTAGCTAGGTAAGGACAATGGAGTGCTCTACACGTTTGGGAAGATCAGTCAACACAGGAATACTGGTCAGAAACTGTCTCTTAGTATTTTTATTAAGAACTATCTGTTAAAGATCGTAGTGGATCAGAAGCTGAATGTGTCGTGATTCAAAAGTGTTATGCTTCTAAAAACAAGCATCATGCTAAATCATATAGCCGAAGGCAGCTGTTTATCCAGCATGAAATATAACTCCTCTTGGTCCAGATAAAGCTTCAGCAATAGTAGGACCATACCTGGAGATTTATTTTCAGTTACGATTTTTGAAGTAACTGTTTCTTGCAAGGACAACTTCAAAAATGCTCTCCAGGCACATGGAGATGTTCTAAATTTAAAACAGAGTAGATAGATACAGAAAGCACAGTGTTCTTAACAGAATAGAAGAGGTTGGCTTCCTTTTAGCAGGATCAAAATTCAGAGCATCTCTGTGTCTTCACAAGTGCGTGAGGCTGAAACTGTTCCTTTCCATCTGCTAAAGTCTCAGTTTCGATTCACTTTTGTAATGAAATACAAATTTATGACCATTCAGAACAAAATCCTGTTGCAATTATAGTGGAAAATGTTGGGCTGCCAGGTCTGTTATCACTATCAAGCCGTAGTTGTCTAATTTGAGAGCCCAGATTTGGATCTTGTTGTATAGCTAGAATCTCCCAAAAATAAATGAGAACCCTTAAAACAGGAATTTTTCTCCTCCTTTACTTCTCCATCAAACCTAGTCTCTCAAGTCAGACAACAGCAAAACTTGGAAATTTTCATTTGAAAGATATGTTTCATTGTGACACAAACTGAATTTCTGAGTAAATAAAAAGCACAAGGGGAGGTTCGTAAGTATTCAGGAATCTGTTAATTGACTAAGCTGTTGTGTGACAATTACCATGATAGGCTATGAATAAGGAGCTTTGAAATCCCTTCCATTTATTATTTCTTCAGTTTAATCTGAAAAACCAGCACACAAGGAAGACCTTTTTATAAGAAAAATCCCCTTTTGCTTCTTGTGAATTTCTGGTCCTGTGTCATTTCAATAACTTTACAATCGGTGTGTCACTGAAGTTACTGTTTTGAGTTAATCTGCTCATCCAAAGAGTCAGGTCACTCTGGGCTGATTGTGTATTGCACAATGCGTCTCACACTTTCTTTTTAAATACCCTACTGGAGCATGCTGTTAACAGGCTGCTTGATTCTTGTAGGAAATGACTATTCTGTGAATAGTAAGATCTGATTCATCAGCTCAAATGGCAGAGTAATGGCGGTGAGATCCATACTGTATGTACACAGTCCAGACATCCCCATGTAGCCCAGTTGTGGAATGCTGACATGATTTGAAACTAGCCACGTTTTTCCATGCCAGAGGGAATACTGAACCTCAGGCTGCTGGGAGAGTATTTTTTAGATCAATTAACAGCTTTTCAGGTGCAAAGTTCGATCAGCTGATTCTGCAGAGCGTACTTCATAAGATAGTACTGACAGATAAAGTTAAGCCTTCTCCCTGGCAGCTCACGCTGAAATGACATATACTGGCATTGATACAACTCACAGGAACTGAGGATGGCATGCTGCATAACTAACCTGTCATATGCTGTGCTGTGAGCTAATGTGTCAACAGTCTGCAAACTGTGTTATAGCGTTGGAAGCAAGTTAAAATACCAGGCAGCGACATGATACGACATTTATCACCTGTCCATTCCAACAGGAAAAATGTCACTTCATCTTACAACCAGTGCTTAATTTGCAAAACTAAGTTCAGTGGTAGGTAGGTAACGTTTGCTATGTGCTATTGCGTTTATTCTGCTTTGTAGGAGAAGAATTTAAAAGCTAAAGTGCAATGATATCTCACTGTATTTAAAAATAGGCTGTAAAACTTTATTCAAGAGATGCGCCTTTCCTAACCTTGTCCAAAATTCTTCTTTTTATCTACACTATTTAAGGGATGCATGACTTCTTTCATTTTGAAAACCAAATATCGTAATTGTAATGGCATACTACGGGCACACAAGTTTTTAATTCACATCTCATACTTTCAGTATTTATCATTTGTATAATGTATAATCTGTTTATATGCATTAAGTTATCTGCCAATGATAAATACATAGGAGCAAGTTAGTATCAGTAGCTAGTTTGAAATTGGTTTATAATTATCTGAATTAATTATGACACAGATAAGTATGAAAAATAATTTTCAAAGAGATGATGTCTTTTACTGGTTTTCTGGTTTTCACATACAGTGCATTGCATAACTACGTATATGAAAGCATTGTTCATTACTAATGAAAAACATAGTTATTAGTATCATATTGCTTGTCTTCTGTCACCTTTTCAAAATCCTGCTTTAAGCTTTTGTATATTTATAAAAACACTAAATTTCATTGTTTTCAATAAGGGAGTGCTGTAAAATCAGCTTAAACCACTGCAAACTGAACAGGCAGCTGCCTAATAAGGACTTAAGCTTCATTAGGCTGTAGCTGCAAGTCAGTTGTTATTTCAGATCAAGTTAAGACACTTCAATACAATAGGTGTCCCTTTCTCACAAAAAAGGTGTTATCCTCAGGGTTTTGTTGTGGCAGTGTCAAGTTTCTAGAAAGCAATGTGTTCAAGTTAGATACATGCTCCCAAGATTTTGTCTTTGGAATTCTTATGGTATTGACTATAATTACAGGAAACGTGAAGAGGAAAGTAAAAGAAAAGAGGCCAAGCTACAGAATGGGATGCAGAACGTGGAAGAAAACAGGCTTCGAGTACAACAGAATGCTGTAAATCGAGAGGAGACTACCAGCAACTCACAGTTACCTAACAAACCCATTGATACACAGAGTAAGAGATCTCTGTCCCTCAGTGGTTCACAAATTCAACTAGGGAGAAACAGTAGAGGTTCACCTAAAGCTTGTCACAACAAAGGAACACCAAAGGAGAGTTGCCTGTCAGCCAAACCTCAGAGTGAAGGTCATAAAATCAGGAAAGGTTTGTAAGCTTTTTAAATTGTCCTGATTATCCTTCTTGTCCCTGTGTGGGGTGTTTTATGCATAGGACTTGTTTCATCTTTCTAGCATTTCTTATTCTTTCATCATTTAAGCAATTCATATATGGTAGGAGTAAGATACAGATTCTTTTTATTGTGTGTGTTCTGTCATCTTAAGTAGTCAAAAATGCCAGCATATACAGTGTCTTTTAAATACCTAAAATATGTGAGAACAGGCTGTTGGGAGTTGTTCTATTAGTTGTATTATTAGGAGAAAATGAGATTAAAGATATTTTGGCATATCTATGGGATACTTGAAGAGTGCTAATGGAGAAATGGTAATTCTTGTTTTTAAATGAGGTTGAAATGAGGATAAAATTGTTCTAAGTGACATCTCTAGCATACAGAGAGAGCTGTTCAGTCTGCTTCATTCTCCATGTCAGGGTTCTCCTATGATTAGTCTCTGAAGTCCCCTTGTTGAGAACACTCTAGGGTATTTTTTGAGAAGTGAAACTGTTTTTAGAAATTGTACTATGAAGCAGTGTGTCAGAGGTGCCCTGCTGCACTCTTGTATTCTGTCTTTAAATGCATCATCAATTTATCGTCGTTTCTTGTTATTTTTGTGAGATAGTGAACATAATGAGGAAAAATTGATAAGTATGGAAAAAAGGGAAATGGGAAAGAGAGATCTGGGGAGGTTTACAACAGTGAAGGGCAGGAAGAAAAGAAGGAGAAGTACAAAGAAACTATAAAAGAGGAACAAGCAGCCTTTTCTTTTACTGACTCCATGTATCCATTCTTAGCCAGAATCTTCCACTGATTATGACAATGGAAACTTGCATCAGTCAGACTCTCACTGGTTCTGGACCAAATACAATAGTTTTGCAGAGAGAATGACCTGAGGAAGTAGGTAGTATGTAGTCCATGGGAAACAGGGGCTATAGAGTCAAACTGACTACAGAGATCAGGACAGAATTTGCCAAATTTTCTGTGAAGTATTCTATTATTGATACTTGTATTTGGAAAACTGCATTTATGTTCAGTTGGGTACGCTACCCTTTACAGTAACCTAGGGAATTCAAACCAGCAGCAAATGCCACCAGCGTCTAGCTTGGACTTTTGATTGAAGGCTGCCCTGAAGATGGAGATTTCCTGATGTAGCTATGCCAGAATAATTTTTCCATGGTGATGGTTCTACAAGTAAAATTTTAAAATCATATAGGCTATTGCCTGGAGGTTTTTTTATTTTCAATATGTCTTTAAAAGCAGAATATAATTTCTGCAAGCAGTAGAATTTTAAGTAGAAAATTCTTTCTGTTATTTACTATCTTTCTTCACCATGTTGGATGTGACAGCAAAACTCTTCTTCTGAAATACATGTCTACTTCTCCTACAAGACCAGTTTACTTTCAGATTGTAAAGAAAGGCCCCTCTTGCCCAGTCCAAAAAGCCTATGTTTGAAATAAAATACTATGCCATTTTTAGGCATGCATTCTCTTTTTGCTATTGAAATGATGCCAAGAAAGCTGATGCAGCAAGGATCAAATCATGAAGTTCTTTAATCAGTTCTCATTAAGTGTTTTAATCAGTCCTCTTGTGACCAAAAATTTAATGGATTTCATTGGACATTTTATTGGAATTAAATATAAATTTAGATCCTGTGGGCTGTGGAAACTATGATTTAATTGGTGGGGTTTTCTGATCTGTTCTTCACGGAGAAATCCTCTTTCCTATTTATGTTATCTCATTTGCCTTAGCTGTAGTACAAACAGGTAAGTTCTTTTTTTTTGTGCTCTGTACTTGCTATTGCTTGGTCTTTCTATCTAAGAAAGTTTCTATCAACCTTAAAAGATGAGCTAGAACACTTAAATCATAGGCTTTTTCCATTATCGAGTTACCCAGTTGTTCAGGTTGAGAAGTTCTGCACATACTACTTCAGTGTGTTATGGTTAAAGTAAAAAAGCTTTCTACATGGTGGACGTGCAAACCAGGCAGCGAGTGTTGGTGAATTCAGAATGACAAGGCTTTTCTTTTAAAGCTTTGTCCTTTTTCCTTATTGAGAGAACAACAGTGCTGTAAACTTCGTATGTTTGAGCTGACTGTCAGCCCTATGCCCGTTTTATTGATGGCACTGGCAGTTTCTGATTTGGCTTCTCTAGGAGTTGGATTATGCCCTTGGAAATCTTGGCATCAGAAGGCACGTTGATTTTAAATTGTCTATTCCCCAGGTGTAATGCAAGAGAGAGTGAATTCCCTTCTCCATTCTGAGCAGTTACAACAATAGCTCAATATAGAAAAGAAAAAAATAATTACATTAATAATAGATTAAAATAATAGATTAGTTTTTTTTCCCGTCCCAGAACATAGAGGGCTATCTACACATATGCTAATCATGTGTAAGTTAGAGTAGCCTTTCAGCCCACACTGACTTGTCACTATGATAAATCTTCTTTGTTGGAGACATCATTGATGATAATCTTTAGTTTCCTTTGTATAATCTGATAATGTGCCATATTGTGTTACCCAGTCAAAAGTATCCTGACAGGCTGCAGTGGGGATAAATATAGCATGGTTTCTCCAGGTTTTGGATGATCCAGCAGATTTTCTGTGATTCTGGTATATCAGAGGTCTCTTCTTTTTTCTGTCTTACCTACCCCTGAACAACCATTCTGTCTGTTACGTTTCATCCTGCCTGGCCTGTTTTCTCATTCTCCTGTTAGTTTCCAAACAGAATGGAAGGTGTATGGTAGATGGGAGATTTTCAGTTTTGGACTGAAGTCTGGCTTCCGAATCATCCTCGCAAGGGCATTTAGAAGCACTTATCTCACAGCAGCAAGGGAGAAACGGGAAGGACCGCCTAGTTTCATTTAGGATGTCAAGTACCGAGAAGCCAAGCAGTCTGGGTTTCCTGGGTCAGTGGGTTACCCAGTCTGTCACCACATGCCAGGATACAGGGTGGCTAGAGCAGAACTTCAGCAAATAAGCTTGAAACAGTGACAGTCTGTCACGGTATCTGCACTGGAATGAGCAGATGTGTTCATAGGGCTGCATTCCTGCACCACACTGTGAGCTGGTTTCTTTGGAGAACACCAGTATATTCAGGTAGGTGAAGAAACAGTTTTTCCCTGTGAACATTTTTTAGGCATCTAAGTCAAATGCATTGTAAGAAAGAAAAATACTTTGAGAACCAAAAGCAAATTAAGAAGTTTGGGACTGCACTGTTACAGGCAATCAGGTCCGCTCCTGATTCTTCCTGCTCACGTGTTTCTTCATTTTAGTAAAGCCCAGTGTGCCTCAAAGGTAACTCAGCAAAAAAGGGAAATAGAGAAAAAAACTACGTTTTGTTGGTTCAGAGGCTGAATGTTGGTTTCCATTTCTCTGTCTAAAGATTCACTGAGGAAACACACCAAAAGCAAGTCAAGTTGTGTCCATTTCCATTGTGACAAAGCAAAAGAGGAAACAAAAGTTGAAGTGAAACATCAGGTCACAGCTGCTACAGAACTGGATGGAGAAAAGCACAAATTGCACACTGTTGACACAACGGGTGCTTGTGTTCGGAGGAGCAGAAGGCATACTGCTGCTGCTTGTAGGACTGCCAGTGTTGGGGAAAAGCTAAGAGATCAAAGTCAGCCTGCATCTGGCAGCAGGGACCATTGTGAAGGAACGGCTGTGTTCTTCTGCAATGTCAGCTGTACTGGTGGAGTTGCGAGAAACTCGAAGCAATGTGAAGCTTCTTCCAAAAGCAAAAGGCATCAGCAGAAATGCAGAAATAAAGAGGTAAATGATGAACGATGTTCACCAGCTGGCTCTAGTAGACCAGGAAGTGCCAAAACAGTATTTGTAAACACCAGAAATGACAGTGTGCATGCTGTAGAACAAACTATGGGAAATAACGAGTTAGCAAAAAAGGCCTCCCCTTTATTGTCTGCTAAGGCAGAACGTATGGGAGCTGTGCCAAGAAACCCAGCAGCGTGTTCTGCTCCTGATGACAGTTTGATCTTGGAAAATACAGGCATAATTGGATCCAGGAATGCAGATGATCAATCATGTTCTGTCGCATGGCAAAGTACAAATATTGAACTGATCCCTTTAGAGATTCGAATGCAGATTATAGAAAAAGAAAGAAAAAGAAAAGAGCTGTTTCGGAAGAAGAACTATGCTGCTACAGTCATCCAGAGGACATGGAGAAGGTAAGACTGCTGTTTCAGTAGCTAGAGAAGAGTAAGATGTAAAGTAAATTAGCTTGTTGGCAAAGTGCTTTTATTTGGTCCTTTTGCTTACATTACCGGTGCTAAATAATGAATTTAATAATCTTTCACCAAGCAAGTGAAAGCAGGTTTCAGTCGCCTGGAATTACATTAGTAAGCTCATAAAAAGAACAAGGTAAGTGATGACTTTTAATCATTGAAGAAGTTATGAAACTTCTGTTTCAAGCACTGATATTTCTTCAGAGAGTGCAGATCAGAATTTGCCTAAGCCTGGAGTTCACTGCTCTTGTGTTCATTAGGAAACTTGCACATGGAGGGATACAGGGTTTTTCCTGAAAAGGTTTTTGTAGCCAGATCCTTCACCACCATTTACTGACACACTTGAAATTGTATTCTGACCTGACTTTCAATTGGGCAACCAAACTACAAAAGGTTTGGAAGCTTTGGAAGTTCATTGCCAAAACTTGAAGCTAACTTGAGTAACTTGATTGAGCAGGAATGACTGAAGAGGCAGACAGGAGAGAGTGAGATGTCCCAGCATTTGCTTTCCACAGCATTGTCCTGCTTTCATGAATGCTCTTTGTTTGCTATCTGTTCATCCAGCTCTGGGGTCCCCAGGACAAGAAAGACATGGACCTGTTGGAGCAACTCCAGAGAAGGGCCGTGAAAATGGTCAGAGGGCAGGAACATCTCTGCTATGAAAACAGGCTGAGAGAGTATGCTTGTTCAGCCTGAAGATAGAAAGCACAGGGGGGACCTGATTGTGCCTCCCTTGAAAGGGGGCTTATAAGAAAGATGGAATAAGACTTTTTACCAAGGCTTGTAGTGACAGGACAAGGGGGGACAGTTTTAAACTGGCAGACGGTAGGGTTAGATTGGACATAAAGGAGGAAGTCCTTTCATGATGAGGGTGGTGAGGCACTGATACAGGTTGCCTGGAGAAGATGGGGCTGCCTGATCCCTGGCAGTGTTCAAGGCCAGGTTGGATGGGGCTTGGAGCAACCTGGTTTAGTGGAAGGTGTCCCTGCCTATGGCAGGGGGTCGGAACTAAATGGTCTCTAAAGGTCCCCAAACCATTCTGTGGTTCTGTGCTTCTGCCCCATTACTTATACCCACACTGACCTGCAAAGCAAAGCAGCCACTTGTTTTCCCAGTGATCCACCACTTCTGCCTTCAACTCTCTCTGCTGCTTCCAGACACTATGCAAGCAGCTCAGTGCTGGCAGTGTTTTTGTTGGCCTTTTCTCATGTAAATGCCAATTTCTTGTCTTATGTGTTAAGGTCTTTTTAGATACCAAAAGCTACAGTCAGGAGTAGGTTAGGAGAGTATATCCATAAGTGATACTGTTGCTTCTGAAGGCTATGCTGTTTTCACTGAACAGCAAATTAAAATCCCCATAGAGGAGTAGACACATACCATATCTTTCAGTCAAAGCGTCAAAATATGTAGTGAGTGCCTGTGCAAATTTCCTCACAAGATCTGGGATCTAAAACCCTGTATTGAGCTAGCTTGCCTGTATAGAAATCTTTGTATTCCATTTACAGTTTTGACTAAAGATTGTGGATAGATCTTTCTGAACTATCCATCTGCTGGAACAGCAGTGGTGCTTTCTATCACTGAGCATGCACTCACAGCACTTCAGAAATTATGGGGATTAAAGATTGTTTAAATGACATTTGCTATTGTGAGAATTAATAAAGAAAAATAAACATACTTGCTCTGTTTGCAAAACTCCTATCACAGTATGCTAGAGATTGGAAGGGACCTCAAAAGATCATCTAGTCCAATCCCATGTTCTATAGTATATAGAACATTAACGTGGATCATAGATCTGCAAGACTGCAGGAGAGGTTAGTTTGGCTGTTCCTCCATTGCCATCTTGTTACATCTGTGGACAACGTACTGTTGCTAGACCTTTGCTGGAGTTCATCACATTTGCGGTGATATTAGAATGCATTTATTTCAGTGAATGTTTTGATGCAGAATGCAGAACAGTTTGATTGGCAGCAGTGCTGAGGTGAGGGCACACCGTTGTGAAGAGCTGTGCTTCCCTCCTGTCTTCTCTCTCCCAGGCCCACCAGTTCTGCTGTCTCTTCTGCTTACGCTTTAAGCTCAGCGTGAACTTTATTGCGTGAGTGTTTTGAAACCCACATGGATGATGGGAGCTGTGAAATCAGACCAGATTTCCTCCTCCCAATTTCCATGCTGTTATCGCATCAGTAGTTTTTATTTTTAAAAAGAAGATATTTCTGCTTCTCCCTCTGAAGCACAGTTCGTGTACATCCCAAAAAAGAATTGCTGTATTTTAGGATATGGATCCCAAGTCTGATGGTGGCATCTGCCTGCCAAGAAGTCATGGTTAAGCGTTTCCAGCTAGCTCACCCAGCATGTGCTGACTGTTACTATGATGTCAGTTATTCTGACTCTCCCTCTGAAATACCTGTTTTCCCACCCACTGTACACTGAATTATAGTTCTTACGCAGGTACTTACTGTGTGACCGTGGGTCCCACCCAGTCCTGTGTTTGTCTTTCAGGTCCAGGCTGGCACAGGTAAATAGCATGTACTTGTAGACAGCAATAGAATTACACATCGTTAATGTGTAATTCTGCGTTAGAGACATGTAGAGGTACATGCTTGTGTTCTGGCATTTCTCTTAATTAGGATTAAATACATTTGTCTCACTGCAAATTTTATAGTCATGATTTACTTCTTGAAAGTTTATTGAGAGCTGTGGTGAGCTGTAACACAATGGTACTGCTCTGCTTAAGTGTATGAAACTTGCCTTTCTTGGGAAAACGTTTCAATTCCCACAGTCCACACACTTTATAAATGTAGTCCTCAAAAGCCTGTGTTTAGGTGTGTGGATTGCCAAAGGTTAATTGTTTCTCCTGCTCACTGAGCCTTACACATTCTGTGTCTAGCTTGCTCTCATGGGGGACACTGAGGCCTGTACCATTCTCCAGAGTCCACAGTGAGTTGACAGAAGCTGGAAGTAAGTTGGTTGCTGTTACCGTTGCTCTCCTGTGGGAGTCATGCTATATTTTCTTGATGTTACTGCTATATGCATACTTTGAGCAGCAGTGGGTTTTAAGATTAGAACTTCTATAACAATGAATCTGAGTACCATTTGCCAGCTTTGCCACTCTGTACATGTATTCCACATATCTGCTGTGCAGTAGTTTTATTGACTAAGCACTGGCTGTTTTGTTAAGGCCCCACATCAGATTCATAAAGCATCAAACTTGGAGCCACTCTTCTTTTTTCTCACTAGGGTCAGAACAATCAGTTACAGGAGAGCTGAATTCTGAGAATGTGCCCATGCTCTAAAGATAACTGCCTACGTCATCTTGGTGTCAGAGCCTCGCAGTTGTTTTCTCGTTGCTAAAAACTACGAGAAGTTCTTCACAAACATGAAATTACAGCTGGGTGCAAAGGTGGAGTGCCTGTGACTGGGTCACTTCACCTATCAGCAAAGGCTTCTGGCAGCAATTACTGAATTCCAAGAGAACAGCTTAGTAGTCTTTTCTGCTCAAGTATAGAACAGTTCCCCAATTGTTTTTCCTGCAGCAGTAGTCACGTAACCCATCCCTAGCTCCAGTTACGTTAGCAAGTCACTGTAACTGTGCCCCCCTTCACTTTCTCTTCCTCTCTTACCCCATTGAGCAGTTCTAATTGACGTGTTACTTACCCAAACTGGATCCTTTTTTTTCCCTTCTGTCTTAATAACGCTTCTGTTCTGAATCCATACAATACTTTGCAGCTCACAGGCACTACAGGCCTTTATTGGTAAGCTGCAGTTGTTGCCGTATAACAGGACATGCCTGAATTCTGAAGCTCCACTAAATTAAGATTGAATATATTTGTCTCACCCAGCAAGTTTCACTGAGGGAATTTACTAAGCTTATTGAAAGTTTCAAATTACTGGGGCTCTGAGCATTATCATCCTCCTTTGGCATTCTGTTGCACTTTTATGTGCTCATTTTTCTGTATACGGCTGGTGGTTCGTTTGAAGTGTACAGTTTTTGTTGGCTTGTATATTTACACATTTCGTATCTGGTTGTGCTGCCTTTTGTTTTAACTGAGAACTTGTTGCAGATGGAGCAAGAGAACAAAATCGCCTCGTTCTCCCTCCTTCCTCATTCCTTCTAATGCGGCATCCAGTAGAAGCCTTTTCAAATGCCAGAGGGGATGATGCCCAATGTGTTTTGGCCAGTTACCCAACACTTACTTACAATTAATATTTTACAAGTGTTACTACTCCATGTTCATCTATGGCAGGTTTGTCCTGGGGAGATTCAGAGTTAATTGCTAGGCCAGTTAATGGACTCGCGAGTGTGAAATGCCAGTATCTGATTTAATACTTGTATCTGATTCAAGACAAAAAGCCAAACAACTCCTGGTCGCTGGTGCCATTAGGCATCAAAGTGGGAAGAAGGACAGATCATCTACTGCTGCCACGTGGAACAGGGCTGGGACTGTGTAAGATCAAAGCAGCCATGGCAAGGCTGGGTTGGGAGACAGAGCCTTTGAAGGGAAGGGGGAAAAGCAAAACTAGATTGCTGAAAAGATGAGGGGAGCACCTTTGGAGGAGGGAGGGAAAGCATCTCAGGTTTCCATAGAGGAAATGTGCAAGTTGAACCTGTAAGTAGATCTGGTTTGTCTCTTGCACTGACTGACTGAGCAAGTGGTAAAGCACATGGGAAAATTTGGTGTTACAGTTGAAATGAGAAAACAGTATTGTATTGATTAAATATGTATAGGTCTTGTCTTCTCCATGCTTTCTCTAAAGCAGTTGATACACTGATGTTGCAGTGCTGTAACTTTGGATACCTGTAATGCCAGATCTTTATTAACTGTGTGAATAACAGCTGTATCCAGAATTGAACCCAGCTCCTGCTTTTGCTTCTGAGCAAACATTTCTCATCCAAATGACTTCGCACATCAGTGGGAGTTCTGTTTTCCCAGTTAGCTCATGTAATCTACCATGTGAACTGATGTGTGGAAAGCACCAAAGTTAAAACAGGTCACCTAAAACAAGTGCTCTTCTCTTTTCTGCTTTCTAGTTACCAGCTAAGACAGGAGTTGTTCCAGCTTCTTAGTGCTAATCGGCAGTGCAAAGAAGATGAAGACAAATGGAGACAAGAGACAGCTGCCTTCTTCATTCGGGTTGCCTGGAAGAAACAGCTGAACCATAGCCTTCTGAAATCAGCTCCTTCATGTAAAAACCTGAAACCTGTAAATAAAACCGGCTCGGCCATAAAACCCAGCAAGCAGTCCATCCTGAAGCAGATATATGGTAACTTTGTCTTCACTCTGTTTTAAATAGCTACACTTTTATAACAGTGTATTCTTCCGTACACTCCTTACCTCATTGTTAGGGATTTCACGTATTTATTACAATTAGTCTGCATCTTGGGTGTCCTGGGTAATTGTGTGTCTGTTGCAGACTGAAAGAAAGAAACCCTCTGTGATTTAAACTGGCTGCTGCTAAAGCTGTTTGAATCACCACATAGCGTTACTCCACATAGCATGGATCTTGAGCAACCAAACAATTCTTTTGCCAGAGCTGTTACACTGGGGACAGCCGGCTCAATCAATCCATAGTGGCTGTCTGGAGCATGGTTTAAGCATGATTTTAAGCTTTATGGGGTTTATATTGTTTTTTAAATATTTCCATTTGAAGAATATGGTCTTGCTCCATGTTCATAACTTCCTTGTTTCAAGAGAACTGGTCTTTATTGGAAGAGCAAGATCAGCTTTTACGGTAGCACTGCACTATGCCTGAATGTGCATGGTGCAAAGGACTCCATCTTGCAGAAAGGGTAGCAGGAAAGCATTGATTTAAACCTTGAGTTTGCTTACAGTGTGGATCACTGATGAAGTAAGGATGTGCTAACTGTAGGTACTTTACTGGGTAGTAAGTTACTTCTATCTTGGCTCTGTAGTTTAGATGGCCAAAAAAAAAAAGATTACATAAATAAATAAAGCTAATTTTATTTAACTTTTTTTTTTATTTACTAGCAACTGCAAGATGTATTTTTTAGTTAAAGTTCAATTGTGGTTGTCACAATTTTCTGTCATAGAGAACATCCCCTGAGTTTCCTTATCATAAATGAGACTGATTTTAGAACAAAGCGATGCTGTAGCCTACTTAGTAGTTTCTAGCTATACATAACGTCATCTTTATGTGATTAAAAATGGAGCTGTTTTTATTGCTTGTTAAAGGACGTTCTCAGGAAGGCAAAGCGTATCAGCCAACACGACCTCCTTCCAAGCTGAAGCTTTCTGATGTACAGCTGGTCTCAGGTAGGACACCTACATTTTAAGAATACTATGTTGTATGTATGCATGTGAGATTGGTTTCATCTTGGAAAAGCAAAAATAATTGCTCAAGAACTGGGATCTCATGTCAAAGTATGTAACTGCTGCCAAGCTGTTAAGATTGCATGCTTTTTCTTTCACTACTGCTGGATTTACGTGAGCACTGCACTTTCATCCTTGTGTTGAATCATGTATATGAAAACCTGTTTTTATTGGGCTGCTACTAGGAAAGACCTTAACAGAATGGACTTGCAGAGTGACAAGCCAGGTAGCATTCACCTCTGGTTAAGATTACTTACAGCACAAATATTTACTAATCTTATAGAAGAGGTGGACTGCTACGTGTGCCAAGAATTTACACACCTGGCTGTTAGAAATACCTGGTTTAGTGCATAGATGAAAACTTGAAAATCCAAAGTTATTGATCTGGTCTCTGCCCTTCCTTTTAAAATGGTGTAACTGGGTGTCTGTGCTGTGTACAGAGCCTCAATTACTGCATAACTTTGACTTTCATAAGTTGTAAAGCTTTAGCAAAATCATGCATTTATTTCCTGCTTAACTCAAGCCATAGAGTCATTACCAGGTCTTCCTTAGGAAAGCCTTAGTTCTGCCTGCCACTGAAATTTTGGGTATGTATCTGGTCTTGGGGCAGTGGGGCTGGCACAACCAGGACTGTCAAGCTGTGCAGACAGACAGGAGATCTACACCATGTACAACAGAATAGCACCAAAGGATGGCGAGTGTGAAAATATTATCAAGGTCATTAAAAGGCTGGAACTATCATGCATGTGGCATTAATTGGCAGCTACCTAAAACTGAAGAGTACATGGCCACCTCTCCTACTACTTCTTTACAAAATGCCATTTTTAAGAGTGTAATTACACTTATTAGGGTATGGGAGCTATAGTAACATTAGCACTTCATCACATGAAGGCCCACTTGGCCTTCATGGTTGTATCACAGCTAGTTCAGAGGCAGGCCATGGGTAACTAGCAACAAAGGAGATGCTTCAAGGAAACGGTAGTTCAGGTAGTTTGCAAAGGGCTGTAAAATACATTTTCTCCTTTACTAATTTAACAAAGGTCTGAAGTCAGAAGGCAATCCAACACTGACTTAGCCTTGTTTGTTAGAAGTGTAGGGAGTTTCTGCCTCACTATGAGACGGCGGCTTTTTTCTTCCACTGTTTGAAAACTGTTTTAATTAAGCAGCACAACCAGGCAGGTGTTTGGTTGCCACCTCTTCATGCAGATAAGAATCTAAATTTTAGAAGAGCTTTAGCAAATAATGCTTCTTTTCGTTCAGGTTCTCGGGACAACATCTCCCTGTCTCCTGAAATAAAAAGGCTTTCTTCTGAGGTTTGAGTGTCCTTTGCTTTCATAACTTGGTGACGAATAGGATAGTGATAGGAACTCTGCCCAGTTCCTTTAGAACACTACCTACTTTCATTCACCTAATAGGAGCTCAGGGAACTTTAGCCCTTAAAGACAATAACATGTTTTTCATCTGACCGCCTTTGTGCATGACAACATGACGCTTGTTGGAAAAGTTCAGAGCTGTCAGTGGTGAATGCCAGATACTCCGTGCCTGACGTAGGTGCCTGGAGTAGGTCAGAATGGACTGTTCAGTCTCATTCTCTCTCTTGCAGAAGGTACAGCTGGGAAGGTGAAGACTGGCTGTCAGTCCTGGTTTGAATGTTCATATAGCTAGTGGGAAAAGTGCCGCGACACATATGTAACAGGGACAGACACCAGACACCAAACTCCATGACCTTTCTGGCATAAGCAGACCCAGCACTTTGGAGGGGAGGACATGCAGAAGGTGCACAAAGGAAATGTACAAATAAGTCGGGGTGGGGGGGGGGGGGGGCGGCAGAAGGAGACAAGCAGAAAAGGGCTGTGCAAATAGGGACAGAATTGTTACAATTAGCTTGTTTTGGACCCTGAAAGTTGTTCCTTTTTAAACATCATTTTATTAAATCGGTGCCTTTTGTCAGTTCAGTAAATGGCATTTAAAGAAGTGCTCTGCAGCAGGCCAGACAGCTGTGTCTAGGGTTTTTTTTTGTTTCACTGTGAACATTAAAGTGTGTGTAGAGTTGTAAAGGAGGAGGCTTTGCAATTCTCTGCATCAGAAAGATGTTCTTAGAGCGTGCTGGGCGCGCCCCTCACTGAAACGCTCAGATTTGCACTTTGGCGGGACCCTGACTGGAAAGGGATAAAGCACCAAAATGTTTGCATCCCACCTCCACAAAACTGGGGAAGGAGAACACACACAGTATTACGCACATTAAATGAAAACACTGAGTGAGTCCAGATATTCAGCCAGGATCAGAACTGAAGAGAAGGGTCAGCTAGCATTCATTTTTGGTTCTAGTAATTCAGAGCTTTAGCCCTAGACCAATTTCCCATACCTTCTAGAAATGACCCAGGACCTAATGTGGTTAAATACTGCTCAACAAAAAAAATCCCTTGCTGCTCTTCAGCAAGCTCAGCCACGAGCATTGTGTTAGTGACTGAGCCATCAGCCAGGAAACCCTCCTTCATTTATGCGGGTAAATCTCATGTTGCTTTCAGTTATTATAGGCTGCTCTGAACACCCGCAGTAGGATTCTACGTAAGCTGTACCAAGCGCCACAGAAAATAAACTCCACTTACAGATAATCAACAGCAAGATGCCAGGACAAATGCATCTGTCCCAGCCCTGCCAGTGTTCAAGACCAGGATGGAGCAACCTGGTCTAGTGTGAGGTGTCCCTGCCCATGGCAGGGGGGGTTGGAACTAGATGACGTTTAAGGTCCCTTCCAACCCAAACCATTTGATGGATTCTATGATTCTTCTCCTGCTGCACTCACTGTTTCTGAGATCTAGAACACTGTGTAGATTAAACTGCTTTGTACCCACTAGAGTTTCTCACCAAACCCGTTTTGTTCTTTTTCAGTAAACAACCTACAGTGTGTTAATTTGCTGGAGAACATGGGGAAGTCAAAACAATTTTCATACAACATGAGGCCAACCACAGCTGCAAAAACAAAAAACACAAGACTCAAGCACTAAGCAAAGCTGAATGTTTGGAATTTAAAAAGCATATTCCAGTACAACCATTACCTTTCATCATGTGCAAGTCATCTACAACATATTAAACTTGAACTTGCTGTTTTGTATTATCCCAGCATTACAGGCCACACAGACACCTAAGGCGTTGGGACTCATTTTGAGTACAAATCAGTTTTTAAATGCAACTGTTATTTATTTACTGACAGGATGAAATCTGAATTGCATTGGGAAACAGAAACTGAAGTGCTGAGCCCAGCTCTACAGAGGAACTGCAGGGGCTCCCAAAGTCTTCCACTGCCAAAAAATAATTTTGAATGTGTTCATCAAACACAGTTTCAAAGGAGAGGGAAACTGTACTGAAGAAGTAACAGTTCTGAAAGACAAGCACAGAAGAACAGTCTTCATTCTCTACTTTGGTACTGAAGACACAATCATTTCTCAGCTAGCTATGGATTTGGAAGGAAAAGTAGAGATGTCGACAAAAAACAGTAAATAAATGGCTTTCCACAGCCTATAGGAATTGTTAGGGTGATGTTTTCTATCACTGAGATTATCACCAGTTTTTTCTATATCAATAACTGGCTTTATACCTGCACAGAAAGATGGTTTATGAAAAGCAAGAAAAGATGGGACGTATTCTACAAGAAACCTTGTTCTTGTAATAGCTTTGGAGCTGCCAGCATACAGTATTTACCTTGCACAAAGTATTTAAAACTAGGAGCTGAGCACTAATAAAATGATGTTACTCTGGTTTCCATGTAAATTGTTTTCTGTCTTTTCTTCTAGCTGGCATTACAGAATTCTAATCAATTAATACGATGTTTTGAAGTAACAAGATGAGTGAAGTCAACGTAAGTCTGTTTTGCTGCAAGCGCTTAAATGTTGAGAGGACTGGATCTTCTTTCACTCCCCTCACTGTGGACAGTGCATCTACTAAACTAGCTTCCAGCAGCAGCATCTGCTTGCTGGAAAAGAAAGGCAGCAGAGGGGCGCAGTTCTCTGGAAAATTTTTATTCTGTTTCACTTACAAAAAAAATGGACAAGCTTTGTTCCAACATCTCCCATTCAAAACTAAATAGAAGTAAATGCTTTACAGTAAATGCAGTTCGACCTCTTTTAATACACGGTGTTGACAGGGCCGGGCCCCTGGGGATGAGAAGCAAGGTAGATGTTGAAACAGTAATGGAGGTCTGTCAGCCACTGCTCTTGAACTTCCCCACTCTTCAGGGTCTAGAAGGAAGGGGAAAGAAGGTAAAACTCCAAGTCACCACCAGCACATGCAAAGCCTGGCTTTGTACAGTTAGTGAGGTGTACTGTGCAGGGTACAAGATGGCCTTGTCCACCCGCACACGGCCACCTTACTCTCATTTATACATTTCAACAAGGTATGTCTGGTAAAGCTGAAATTATGAAGTGTTACTACTCAGTTATGAAGTGTGTGAATTACACCAGCTGCCACTTCCTTACCTGTAATTACAGTGGCTTCCTTACTTCCTTACCCCAATCCTGCAATTTATACTCAACTGAAATGCAAATGAGGAGGTTCTACTACAGCAGGAGAGCTCAGAGCCCCAGTCTGTAAGAGAACTGTTGCCAACAGACCAGTGTAGCCCACAGCGCTGTCATTCACTCTCCTCAGCACTGTAAGTGGTTAAAAAAGCCCCACTGCCACCACACGCAACCCACCTGCAGTGGGACATCACAAGAACATTTTCAGCACTAAAGGAAACCAACCCCCTCAGTCTCTGGTACCTTGCACCTACTCTTACGTCTGCTTTCACCACCAGTGAGGTTATGTTTTTCTTTCAAAAGCTACTAATGAATACCCATGGCTCACTTATTCAAACCTGTGTGATGTACAAACTCTCCGCACTCAAACTCACAAGAGCTTTGTGCAAAGACAGTTTCAGATGTTTTTTCTGAAGAGAGAAGGGACTGGAACAGTCCCCAAACCAGCAGGATGCAGCAGACACAGGAACAGATGTGCTGGGGTTTGCAGTATTTGAAAGGGAATATATTTTACACTATATATATTTAAGGGAGTTTGTCTGATTTAATAACATCTTTGTACACCTACGTATCCTTGCTCCCATCATCACAGAAAACTAGCTCCTTGTTTTGGGACAGCTCACTCGCAGATGGGCCAGGCAGGTAAGCTACTCCCAGTCAGTTTGTTAGGAAGGTATCTGCTTTCCCAGGCCCTGGGCTGGGCACACGCTAAACTTCGTAACAGCCTTTGTCTGTGCAATAAGCACAGGAGCTCAGACAGCCATCTACACAGCCCAGGCTCCTAAGGCAGACAGAAGACAATCATAATGTGTGTTCTGCTAAACATCTGTTCCGGCCTTTGCAAGAATTATTAAACATAAACATCAGGTGTGTAGTCTCTGAGAAACAATGACGTTTCCTACCATGATGTCCTTGATAATCTGCTGCACCAGGAATTCATTTGTGATCATATGGCTCCTGAGCTGACCATGTTGCATGAGTAAGCGAAGCAACTGAGCAACCACGGGCAGCTCTTCCCGACAGATCCTGCTCACTTGCAGGCTCTGCAGCATCAGCCTCAGCAAGCGCGGCAGAAGTGCTAACGCAGAAATACATGATCCCCACAGCATATCCCTGGCAGCGAGAGAGAACAAAGGGTTAAACCACTGAGGACAGGTATTCCTTTCAAGCGTGTCTCTGTGAGCTCGCCTCACAGCTGTACAAGGGTACAGCTGAGCACAGGAGGTTCCATGTGAACATCAGGAAAAATTTCTTTACTGTGAGAGTGACAGAGCACTGGAACAGGTTGCCCATGGGGGTTGTGGAGTCTCCTACATTGGAGATATTCAAGGCCCGCCTGGACAAGTTCCTGTGTGATGTACTCTAGGTTACCCTGCTCTTGCAGGGGGGTTGGACTAGATGATCTTTTGAGGTCCCTTCCAACCCTTGGGATTCTGTGATTCTGTGAAGGGTGCTGCTCTCAATTCAGTTGTGCCAACTGCCTTCACCAGTATTAGCACCCAAGCAGAGGATTTGTACCAGGAAACGCTAAACTTGAAAACATCCCAAAATCATGGACAGCAGTGAGACAAACTGGAGGCCCTGCCCCGGAGCTACAAATGTTACTGAAGCTCTTGCACAGTGGACCTGCTGCTTGGTGCAGCTGGGAAGATGGCTCTGTTCAGGTACACCCCAGTGCTCATTTAACACTCATAAGAAATCACACAACTGAACCAGGCATGTGTGATCTGTAGGTCATTAAACACCATCAGTGAAGGAGGACTCCAGCTTTAAAAACTGGTCTTACATTTTAAGTAAGCTTTGAACAACGCTGCTGTGTATGGAACAAGTTAGAGGAAAAACCTGAAGTTTAAACTGTTTAAAGACATTTCCGTTATACAGGTAAATAAACTTACTTACGTCTGCTAGCTGTAGCTTTGGGGGTTTTAAATCAAATGGATTTGTGGTCTACAAAGCAGACTACAACCTCAGAAGTTGTCTTAAAACTGAAATATGCAGTCAGTTAAGAGCACAAGTTTACAAAACCAAATCCTCTGCATGTTGCTTTTCAATGTACTAATGAAACTAAAGGCTAAAGCTAACGATTAGAAAGGTGTATATTTATACCTTAAAGTCAGGATGTCCTGACATCTACCTAGAACAACCTGAGGTGAAACCTCCTTCAGTTGATGTTTTAAATAATTCCAGCTAACTTTGCAGCCTTTTCTCTTAAATCCGAGTACCGTTTTGAAGCAAGCAAAAAAGAGATGGCAAAAAACCCTGCGAGGATGGGAGGGGATGTCCTTTCATTTTACACCTCTGAATACTTGTGGGCATAATGCAGAGATCACAAAAGCAGCGTTACCTTTTCTGTAAGTGTTCTGCATCCTCTTTGTCTAAAGTGAGTAGGAAGTACAGGAGACTGTAACAACAAGAGGCTAAGAACTTGTGCAGGGTTTCACTCAGGATGCAAGCTTGATCCAAGAGCTTATTTATGGCACACAGAACAGATCCAGCTGTGCTATCGGGTATTACAACCAATCCAACCTGTATTAAAACAAACAAAATGACCCCCACATTCATCACTTTATACACAAGGGGTTTTGCTGGTTAGGATGGAGCCCGGCTTTCCTGGAGATGGCTCAACTGCTGCATGCCCATAGGAAGAAGTGAATGAATTCCTCACTTTGCTTAGCTTGCACTCACAGCTTTTTCTTTACCTATTAACTATGTCTTTACGTTAATCCATGAGAACTTTTCCAGTTCTCTTTCCCATCCTGTTGGAGGGAGTCAGCAAGCAGCTGCATGGAGCTTAGTTGTTGGCTGGGGTTAAACAACAACAGTATCATCAGTTGTAAGAGACAGAAGATAAAGAACAATGATGGGTTCAGACTTTTAAATACTTCCAATATAAGACTAGGTATTTCAATGCCACAAGTGCAGATCACTGTCCCAGGCTGACCCTGCACCAGCCAGCTGCAGGAGGAGAAGGACGGCATTCCTGTGTGACAGAACATGGACTGCAACTGTCACCGAGAACCTGCTGAATGCTACAGGACACTCAAACACTAAATAATAAATCAAATAAAGATGTTCCTGACAAACCACACACAGGAAGTTATGACAGTG